TAAGAAAATAATCCCCGTTGTATCCCAAACGGAAAATATCGCTAAAATCCATAAAATAGCGACTGAATATAGGTTATAAATCTCGGCAAGCCAAACATACAAAGCAGAAACGTCATTCAGCCAGTGCTGTCGATTGAGTTGGCTTGGGTAGTGTTTCGACAAAAATGTTATAAAGTGATTTTCATTTTGCGGTAAAAAGTCTCGAAAACACGCTCGAAATGACCCTGGACGAGGACGAGGAACGTGTGGATTTATCCCTCATTTGTCGCACCTGCAAATGCATTTCTTCCGCAATGAAATCCATCTTTAGTGGCTTGGAAAATGCGAATATTTCCGTACACAATCCCCGTATTGACGAGATGCTAATGGCCTGTGCCGCTGTTCAGGTAAATAAAGATTATTTCAATCCAGTGGTGGATTACTGGGATATTTACTATAAATAAAAATTTTAATATCGTTTCAATTATTCGTTATTGTTGCGCAATGCGATTAAATGTTGTTTTAAAGGGTTTTCCTTTCGAAATTACATTTCAAGATGGCCTTCAAAGGTAGAAATTGGTATTCAATGACCTTTGTAAATGCTTCCAATATAAGTACTAAGTAAATATTAATAATATTTAGATAATAATATTAATTGCTTCTCGTATATCAACGTTTTCTTTATTTTGATTGCCTGTCATGATTTGTTGTTTAGTTCCAAATATTTCCCATGTAAATTGCTCGGAGATAAAAGCATGATGGTAGTTTTTGCAAGAACTTTGAGGGTGGCGTTAACCAGAAAAGGGCTTCATTGTAATTTGAGCCCTTTTTTCTGCTTTATTGTATTGGCAAAAGGTTGAGCCTTGCCTTCTTTATTTCAACATTGATGACCGCATGTAGCGTATATTGATTTAATGTCTTGGTGAGTGTTGGCAGTTTCTGTAAAATTTTTCCAAGTTTCAATTTACCGATACATTTTCTATTTGTGTGTGTGTGTTAATTTCGAGGATCAAAAATGTCGAAAAACCAATATTCTGAGGATGAATTTTGCTGGATATCGCTTAGATCTTGCTGGAGTTCCTAATTTTTTCTTCATAATTTGACTGCAGGTTTAATACCACAAAAATTACACTTTAACGGTCACAGATAACTCAAAAAACTACACAATTTAGGCAAATTAATATCGAAACTGAAGACTTATTTAGCCTCACTTTTGCAACTGCTCTTGTAAAATGCTCTTTATCAACAATGAAAACTTAAAACAGATTTCAAAAGTTCTCTAAAACCGTGCTATAACAATAATATCTGATTCAACAAATACAAAAGTCTACAAATCACCGGAAGCAAACCATCAACCTCAAACCGTCAAACCGCGCAATATGAAAGAACATCACATCTCGAACAGTCCCACAAAATTCCAGCAAGCGCTTAAAGTAGTTTAACTGTAGGGATACAAAAATGCCGGTTTAGTGCTTACTAAATAATCACTCGATTTTTTTTCCAGGTTTCTTATGGTGACGGCTTGCCCTCACTAATGTGCGAAATGTGTTGTCAAACTTTAAAATCGGCATTTGCCTTCAAAAAGCAATGTGAAACCGTGGACGGCAGTCTTCGGGAGTATTGCAAAACCATGAAAGTAAATGCCATCAAACAGGAGTTACAAAATTCAGAATTTATGGGTAAAGAGCGCTTATGATGTTTGAACAATAGATCGATGTAATTTCAACGAATTTGTCTTATTCTAGAATCTCTAAATACACTTAGTAGCTTGTTGAATAGCGACGGTGATCCTCAGTCGACCAAAATCGCTGCAAAAGAAGCAAGTTCAATCGAAATCAGTGAACCCTCAACTTCAATGGTGATGGAAATTAACGAAAAGCCTACTTTGCAACCAGAAACTGATTATATTCAGTTTCTCGACAATAATCAAATGCTTTTAACATGTAGAGAATGTGCGAAAATGTTCACAACTTTGGAAGGGTTGAGGTAGATATTTGGAAACAGCTAACTATTGAATTGATTACTGTTAACATTTCTCTGATTTCAGGTGTCACAAACGTGTGCACGCTGGCACCACTTTCAAGTGCAAACAATGCGATAAAGAATACACGCGTAAAAATCACTTAGACCGCCACGAAGCTTCTCATGGAAAGCGAAAAGTGCACGTTTGCAAAATCTGCAATAAAACCCTTACCCGAATGGAACATTTGAAAAGACATTTGATAACTCATTTACGAGAGAAGCCATTTAATTGCAAAAATTGCAATCGGGGCTTTAATAGAATTGAGCACTTGCACAATCACATTCCTAGATGTAGAGGTAAGAATAAATCGACTGGCTGACACAAGCATTTTTACTATCGTAATGGATTTTAGGTGAAATTGTTCATATTTGTCCAGTGTGTAATAAAGCATTTAACCGTGAAGACAGCTTGGAAGTGCACAAGCAGCAGCACGATAAGATATCTTTACTGCTACCCACTATTGAAAATCTTGACAACCTAGACGAGCACTACTTTGAGGTATTTTTAACATTCTGAACCATAGAGAAATACCCTTTAATTCTTTTAAAACTCTAGGTTGATTATGATGCGGCTATTGCATTTTCCGATAACTCAGATGTTGAAGACTGTTTCGAGCCGCAGGTCGAAGTCACTGAAACGTTAGGCGAAGCAAAAATTGGTGACAATGATGAATTTTCTGAAAATAGTAAAGACCCAATTCGTAAGTTTCTTAATTTGTCATAGAACAGTGTTTAGATACAAAGCGCTGCTGTAATTTGCAGAAGATCCAGACGGTCAGAAACAAGATCAAGAATGTATAGAAATTCGTCAAGATGCCGAGGATGAAGATGACGAAAAACCATTATCCTCGATAGCGGCGATGGTAAAGTCAGAAGAAGGCCAACTAATGCTTCGTGAAGGTAATGATGAGGACGACGACGATGATTGTGATATGGACCAAAGCGATATGGACCATGAAGACGAATTAGAAGAAGGTGAAATTGTTTTGGGATCTTCAATGGGCAATGATTTTGAGAATTATGAAGATAATGGTAAGTTTGTACCATTTCAGTTCTGATGGATTACGATTTTTATTGTGACCTTCAGGTAACGACAGTTCAGTGGATAGCTCAGATGAAGAATATCTTCCCAAAAAACCTGCTCAGGCTTCGCCAAATGGAAAACGAAGAGGCAGGCCGCGAATTCACCCGCCTAAGCCAAAAAGCACGGGCCGTCGAGGTCGACCGTTGGGTATTTATTTAGATTTAAGTTAGTTTTCGCTTAATTTCCATATTTCTTTCCTCAGGTAGTAAAGGCATAAAGAAAAAACAAAAACCGATTGAGGAAGAAGACATTGGGGAGTATCCTTGTCCGTTTTGTAACGAGTTTTATGACCGGATTAGCTTACTGGACAAACATGCTAAAGAAATGCATCCAGATCTCAAGGTAATAACTGTCTCAAAAATGATTAGTACATTGTTTCTACTAATCAGATTCATCATTAGGTTCACAAATGCAATATTTGCGGCAAAGATTTTAGCCGTCCTAACCACTTAAAACGTCACATGAGTTCTCATTCCGAGAACAAGCCCTTTACGTGTGAAATTTGTACAAAGAGTTTTGTTAGAAAGGATCATCTTTTACAACATCAAAAATTACACGAACAACAAGAAGAACTTCCTTGTGATATTTGCGGGAAGTCCTTTGGTAGGGCTGACCACTTGGCTAAACATAAAGCTTCTAAGCATGGAATCGGGGAAAAACTGATGGTTAGTTGTTGTCAATTATCTAGGAGTTGTCACAAAAGACCGCATTATTGTGCCTTTTTAGACAATTGGTGCTTTATATTGTGACTACAGCAAAAAATTAATAGAAAAGCTGAGGGGAATTTTTGCAAGATTAAACTATTCCCGCGATCTTTATCTAACATTGCTTTAAAAACGTAAATTAATTATTATCGAACGCTAATAATTTATATATTTGCAGATTATGGGGGATAAGAAATTCTATTGTGATAAATGCCACAAAGGTTTTACGACCGAAAAATACAGAGACGTTCACATGAAAGCCCACAATGGCGAAAAGAAGTTCATGTGCAAAGTTTGTGAAAAGACATTCCTTTCCCGGTCGCATCTAACCGAACACATGAAATTCCATAATGAGCATTCCAAGAAATTCCTTTGCTCTGAGTGTGGGCAGCGTTTCATTCGAAATGATTACTTGGTCATCCATATGCGAAGACATCGCGGTGAAAAGCCATTTAAATGCAAGTTCTGCGGAAAAGGTACTTGGTTTATTTTTTTAGCTGAACTCAATTTTCAATAGGTTTACGATTATTTAAGGTTTTCCTAGGACAACAGATCTTACAGTGCATGAGAGGTATCATACGGGTGAGAAAACCCATTTGTGTACCGTGTGTGGTAGGGGATTTGGCCGGTAAGTCAGTTATTCAGTTAATTTATTATCAACTACTTGACCGGAAACTTTGGGTAGGGCATACAATCTTACGGTACACATGCGTACCCATACAGGAGAGAAACCATATCAATGCACATATTGTGATGCAGCCTTTGCACAAGGAAATGACCTGAAGGCCCATATCAGACGACATACCGGGGAAAGGTTCCAGTGTGATTTATGTTCCGAGAGCTTCTTAATGGGATATCTCCTAACCCAGCATAAAAGGACAGTTCACGGTACGAGCTTGTTTTACTAAAATATATATGCGATGCCCAAGCATTACTCTTCAATAGGTTTGAATGTCGTGAGCAATATCCGACGATTGCAGCCGGTTCACAAAACGGAAAATCCGGACGAGCCTCCACCGATAACGATACCTCTTCCGAAACCTTGTGTACCTGAAAATCTTATGTTTAGTCACATAATGCAGTCGCAGCCTCATATGCCACAAGTTCAGACCAAACAGGAAAAGCTAGAGGATTCTACATCACTGACTATCCCATTATCAAAGCCTTTAATGCCGGAAAGTCTTATGTTCAATCACTTGCAGGCGCAATTGTCGCTTTCGCAAATGCATTTTTCCCAACGGCCCGCTACGTAAATGATAACTGTCATTTTTATCTCAAGCCATTCAACAGCGTAAATGAATGAAAAATAGTGGTTGTGATAATTGCGGCTCTCGATTCTAGCAGTATTTTTCGTTCTTTTTACAGATTTTTTTGTATCCAATCGAACTAAAATTTTACCCTCAGTCATCATACCTGCGTAAAATGTAGTTTGTCGTTGATTACTTATTATAATTTTTCATTTATATATTGAGTAAAATGCAGAGCAAGGAAAGTTTACAACATTAATGCTATTATTGCAAATATTAACAGGTCGGTGTATGTTTATTGTAGAAATTTTATTAAGTAAAAGACATGCATGCAAAGGTGATATATACCACAGTAGGCTACTGGTTTTAATTCTGTAAAATATTGCTTGATTTGTAAATAATTTTTTTTTAATTGTTGGTTTGATTGATTTGTAAATAATAATTATTTTGTACATGATAGAGTAGGCTTATGTAGGATTCGGTGTAAGTTTTATTTACTTGCCTTGTAGTAATAAAGGAAAAATCTCACTAGTGTCTTTCATTTTTATTTCTGTATAAATGCATGTATAAATTATGTAATCTACTTTAATTAGACTGCCAGATATTTTCAAGAGCTGTTGGTACTTGGAACATATTTTTGTAAGATATAGTTAGTTATAGAGAAGTGTGCTGGTAGTGTGGCTGGTTTTAAATGGTTAAGATGCGAAACTGTAGAAATACATTCATGTATCAAAGTGCAAAATAAAAAATGCATTTAGATTGTCGACATCTTAACCATGCTACTGTATGTACTATGTATCTCGTAACATTTATTTTAGGAAGTTAGTTTAGAATCATGTAAATACTTAGTGTAATTTTGTATTCATTAGGTTTGCCTGTAGGATAGGTATGCTTTTCTCACAATATGAGACCCATAATTTGTCATATATCCTCGCCTGTAAATTGTAGTAGCATAATTCAACATCAACATCAGTTTAGAGATTTTGATAGGATGAGACATTAAATAAAGTATCTGAGTATTAGAATATGTGTCTAATCACTATTAGGTCTATCGAATATTCAGCTATCCCATCTGAGATATTACAGACCTATTTTGTAAATTTATACATTTTTTCTCTCACAACAACTGAAAATCCTTAAATTGTTCACCATTATCATCAAAACAACGCTTAATAAATAAATAATTTTGATAGGCATTAATAAAACAACCTGTTTTACGCATTTTTTTAATAGATATGTGAATAACGATAAACACGTTCAGAAAGAAAATAAATCCGTTACACATTTGTAGGAATAGGCGGATTACATACAACGTGAAAGCGTAGTGATAACTCAATGTATTTTATCGCATTTAATCTATTATCTAGCCTAAATAGATTATAAAACAGCGTTCGACATTAATTTCAAAAATTTCTCGATTTTCAACAAACAAAATTAACTTTGCCCGAAGGCATGGTGCTTCATAATAAATTATAACCATCGATTAAGGCTTTCGAAAAATTATTGCCGAACCACTTTTCATCGATACAAAAAACGTTCAGTGCAGAAACTAGGTAGTGCCTAACAGTTATGGGGTTGTTTCTTAATACTTATCTAGTTTAGTTTGAGCGTTATTAAAAAAATAAATCGATAAAAAATATATTCGTAGTTTCACTGAATTTTTCAGACTACTTCTAAAACTAGACAATTGGATTCAAATGGAAAAGAAAAATTCGTTTTGATAAATGCCGGAATTAACTCTTGAAACATTCTCTTACAAGTCGAATAGTGAAGCAAAATGATCTTTTTTTGGTCTAATAAAGCTTACCTAAACTTCTTCACGATTGACTTATCACAAATTAATATTTAGTACCGTATAGAGTAATAGACGAGCAGTCGAAAGGTGGCAAAAAGCTGATTACTGCCAACAGTATCCGTTAATTAAATGAGAATGTAATAATGGATTTTTGTTAAGTTGTAAGTTTTCACAAAGCAATAGCTGACGCAAAAGCCTCTTAAATATTCACACAATCCTCACGAATGTATCGAAAACTGTAAACCCATCCCTATCGTGCCAATGGCCTATTTGATATTACATAATTCGTAATTCGCTGAAGCTAATTTAAATCAACTGTTAATACTTTCAGTTTTGAAATCATTTAAATCAACTGTTAATACTTTCAGTTTGGAAAGATGACTGGGAGTGTTTTTTTGCCAAAATTATTCGTTTTCTATTGATAATTCTTACAAACGCTAAGAGCATTAATTAGCCTAGCTATAAGCTACAGAACTTATCTATCTAGTTATGGGCACTAAAACCTATAACGCGCATAGAATGAGAAAACTGAAATTCTTTGAACGTTTCATCAAGGCGGTAATTTTTTTTTCAAATTACTCCCAAATAATTTTCGGAAAATTAATAGGTTTATGAACATTTTAACCACCGTAGATTGGAAGCAAAACACGTCCGCAAGGATGTTTGTTTCTAAAAGTTACCCAAAGCACTGAATATACAGAGCGATAAAACTGCTTGCTGGAATCAGATTTTTAAAAACCGCCCATATAAATTGGGGGCGCTATTCGGTTTTAGTGCATTTAACAACCTTAAAGAACCCTTAAACTGGGGTGCCGAAGTCCGGATCACCCACCCCATCTACGTTTAGGGAATTAGCATTATAAACATATCGGGCCAGCAGTTTTTCCTTCCTCTGATCCTGATCCACAACCTCATTCATGTCTTCATTGGGGCAGAGCCGTATGGCTTTGCTGACTCTCAAGTTCTGTCCGTGTAGGGAAAAATACTTCTTCGACGAAGACCCAAGAGATGGTTTCGAGGCTTTTAACACCGGGCCTGGATCAATGTGACTTTTGGTCAGAATATCCGAAATTATGTTGTGAACGTGTTCTTCAAACTGCGGACTGGTATCCTGGCATATAATGTTAGGAATTTTGGGCCGTTCAGGTTCGGGTAGTTCAGATTTCGAAACGGCAGCTACAGAAGGGGCGCTGACAATTTTCAGGCTTGAACCGGGCTTTTTACGTGGGGACAACGGAACTTCTTCGCCCAGCTCACTGGCTGTAGTTGAAATGTCCGAGTAGCGATCGTACTTGCTGAAAATGCTCTGCAACGTTTTAACGCCGAAATATTTTTTCCTTAGCTTTTTCTGCTTTTTGTAGTTGCGATTAGTCTTGTTAATCGGCGAGCTGCTACCGCTCTCATCCGAATTCAACAAACTTTGGTCGCTTTTCGCTTTGGAAAGCGACTCGTGAGATAAATACAGTTGAGATTTTTCGGCAAACTCACTAACCTTTTCAATCTCTATAACATTGTTGTCGTAATTAAAAGCATTATCAGTTTTGGTGCTCTCATTTTTCGGTGATTGAGAGTCGCTTGAAGCAATATCAGTGGACAAAATCTCGGAATCCACGTAAACATCCGTGCTGGTCTGCATGGAGGAAGACAAATTGTCCGAAATAAGCGAGTTGACTGAGCAGTTAAAGTTGCTTCCCATCGTCGAGAAAACATCAACTTTTTTAAAATCCTCCAATTTAATTATATTGTTGGTCGCATTATCCAACAGGACCAATTCACTGGTATCGACATTCGACAGATCATTAGAGAACTTTGTTATATTATCCGGCAAGAAGTTGTTATTGGAGTTATGCAATTGCAGCGTGTCTGTTTCTTGTTTATTTATTGTTGGCAAACAAATAACGTCTCCATTATTGGTGTTATCTAACACACTAAGAGTTTCTACGTTTTCCATACTGTTTCTACGACTGGAACGCGACAACCTGGAATATTTACCTTAATTTAAATAAATACTTTATTTCATGCACACGAAAACTGTGCCATCTAAGAAACAAAATTATCATCGCATTAAGTTCTAATAACACTAACAATAATGAGGAAAACATCCGACTGGGGATGTATCGTTAATGTGCTATCCTTAGGAAAAACATTAACTGGCCCATACACCCAGCCATATTGGACATTTAATAAAAAATAAATAAAAAATCATGCATAAAACAAAACTTGTATTTGGCCATAAACAATAACAAACTAAAACTAATCTGAACAACAAATGCCATAAACTATTTAATGAATTAATTCAAATTGGACTTAAATTATAAGGAAAAGCCATATCACATATTGATTTGGAGACCCAGCCTCAGACCTCGGAATAATATTTTTTTTTTACATGAAAACCAAGATTATCAATGTAACTTTAATACTGAAGTCACTTACCTACTACTATCTGAGACCGGATCAACTTTCAAGCCGAATAAAATTCTGTTGCTTCATTAACACTTTTGGGGCTTAAAAAAAGCGAAATTACATGCACTTGAATACAGTCTTAATTGGCACCAAAAGTGATGAAGGTGTGCTCCAAAAACTAGATATAAATATTTTAAGCACCATGAGGAAATGATGCGCTTTAAATATTTTTTACAAATTGTCCGTTAAGTTACTTGTACTCATATTTGGTTGCAACGAAAAAATCGTGCTAATAGGAAAATATCTCACCTGCTCACAGAATTCGATTCTGGTGTACGGGGAGCAGTGGGAGTGTTCACAATTTCTTGGGATTCTTTCTCTTGACTAGACCCACTCGAATCGTACACTTCTTCACTGAAAAACCTACAACAAAGTTATTTCTGACGTTATATAAAGTGTTCCTCATGTAATATTCAAACGGAAGAAGTTACGTAATAAGTATTGCGCTTTTAACTTTGCATCATTGAGCTGGTCAAATTTTAGTAAGAATATACAGTGATATTTTGCCGAAGCGTAATTAAGCGTCGCTGGTAGATTAAAAACCCAGCATTAATATTTTGGCGTATTAAGCACAGCTCCGATTTCTTTTGCATTTTTCGCTCGATTTATATAGAAAAAACATATAATACGAATTTCTTATTTGTTTTTTTCAACATCCATTAGACCGACAAACAAAGCCATTGCAAATCTGTAAGACACTGGAAATCTGTACTCAAAACTTACCTAAAATTGAGGAGGCCGTCTTCTTCTAAAGAATTATCACTATCATCGACTGCAATATATTGCACTTGAAGCACACAATCCCCGGTCTGTTGTTGAAGAATCGAAACTGCTTCCTTATGGCACGCGTTTCTCAAATCAATATCATTTACGTACAAAATCGCGTCTCCTATGTAAAGATGCTCAGAAAGGGCGGCTGGTCCATTCTGTTCCACTTCTGATATCAGTATAGGAACACCGTGCTCTCTTCCACCCTGTAGAGTGCAACGAGAATTTTCGGACCATAAATAAAGAATAATCTTCTTTAACTTACCGTTATACTAATACCAAGGCCCTGTTCTGGTTTCCGCTTAATTACAACTACTCGTATATCACCAAAATGCCCGGTACTGGCATTGGGTTCTAGTAGAGGTTTTGGGCACTCCTGACTGTTATTTAGTGAACTGTTCCGCCTACATGCTCTGACTACGGTTTTGTGCCTCTGCAGCAATATTTCCGACTCCAGCTGGCTCCACAATTTGTCTCTGATTTCTCCGCGCATTTCTTTTCCTAAACAATTCGGCATCAACGATGGCTGTTATTGGAACCAGTGTTTCCATACCTAATAGCTGAAGCTGTTGTATCCTGCCGGCAAGCTCTTTATCCAGATATTTAGCTGCTAACTTTGCACCATATACTTCAGCAGTTAATGCCAAAATATCGTGTCTCAAAGTCACATTTTCCGAGCGCAGTAGTGCGATTTCCACCTTTGCTTGTATGGGTTCTAAGAGGGTCGGGCTGAATTTCTGCTCAGAGTCCTTTTCTTTTCGATCTGTACTCACTAGAACATGATACCAGTATTAAACGAATATTGTTTGTTAATGAACGTGGAGAACGTACTGGTCCTCCTAATCCGCAACGGGCTCTGTCGAATTTCCGCATCCAAACGCCGTTTGATAGCATTAACATCCGGTTTAAAATGCTGATCGACCTTTCTGTTTCCTAAACTGTCTGGAAGTTGGGAGAGTTGAGAGGAATGCAGCTGAAGCAGCAAGTTGTGCAACTCATTTTCTAGAAGTTCTTTTTTGGCTCTGGAATCAGTCAGTTCGGCTCGCAGGTGAATTAACTCAGCCTGCAACAAACACTTCTCTGGATAAAATTCATCATCTACGGGACTTTACATTATTTATCCGTGCTTGGTACTATTCCAAGAAATCCTAGGATAATAAAATCAAGTGGTACTTATTATTTATGTTTGAGCCAATATTTGTTCACAGATAATTACTTTTTCTCTTAAGGCTTTATCGTCGAATTCCCACGTTCGAAAAGCCCCAGTGATTTATGATGTGCTCAGCCAGACAAACGTTGAGGGCATAAATAACGAAAAATTATGGTTTATAATTAAAGTATCTGTAATTCGATAAAAAGTTTTCATGTTCACTTAAACGAAAGTGATTGTCAGAAAATCGGACTTGGATTAATTTTTTTAAATAAATATGTGACGGCGCGCCTAAACAAGTACGATGGGAAAAATTTGCAAACACTAATTGAATTTTAATAGTTTGCAGATCTGGTGATAATTATAAAAAGCACTTAAGGCGAGATCTGTTTTTGGGCTGCTTTTTTTCAATGATTCATCGCAAAAACCAGACCAGAGATGTTCGAGTGGTGTTGCATTTCCACTAAATATACGTTTTTTTTTCGTATTTTGCTTTCAAAATTAACAAGCAGATATCCAACTTGATTTGTTGAACGGTTTGCAATCATTTGCAATAGAAACTACACTCTTTTTGAGTTAATGTAAGATGTGCTTTCTGTGAAATTGTATCTACTAACTTGTAATAAAAAATCTAACAATTGAAGTTAGAATTAATTAAATTTCCAGTTCAGAAAAGAAAAGTTCGGTTTCCATTGAAAAGTTCAGCATTTTACAATAGAATAGATATAATAAAACCCGCAGCTGAATTTGACATACTTTCGCACATTTCGCATATTTTGCGAAAGTAATTCAAAAGATTTGAATACAATTGTGATTAAATTAAAATAAATACGATTGAAACACATATTATTAAGCAAAACTGAGTGGGACTGAAGCTTTATATTGTCAGAATACAAGACCTTTAAACACACTTTTGTCGCTTTGTAAATCATTTATTTCCTATTTTTGGAATAAAGAGCAAAGAAAATTTTAATGTTACTATTGTATCCCCAGAATATTATGCCACATTTAATGTTTCACTCAAAATGAGCAAGCGGCGTTATTTTGAGAGATTTTTTATCACATATTTGCTGATTCCCTTGATATTGTACCAAAGGGAATTATCCAATACCTTCGGGTCTGCAGCGATGTCAAAGAATTTAACGATCAAAGATTAACAAAAATATTCTTAAAAAAACTAAAGCCTAAATCTAAAAATCAAAGGAAAATAAGAAACAGCAAATAAAATACGCAAAGGAAAAATGTTCAATAAAACTGGCATTATGTCTGAACAGTTTCACATCCAATTACCAAAATCACTCCAAGACGAGAATTGAATAAAATTGGTACAAACAAATCTCAACTAGAGATAAACAAGTTTTTTTTAATCCATAGAATTTTTCATTTAAACGGCAAATTAGAGAGAAAACACCTGAATAGAAATCCCGAATATAAACGCAAAAATATAAAAACCTTCTAAATCAACTCGTGCATTAAGAAAAAATCCTTTAAAATGCACATTGGATGACACAATAGGCAAAACCGAATTTTCCAACTTTGATCACTTTAATCGAATGGAAGCATGCTGCAGTGGCAGCTGATGCAAAAAAAATGTCACGCTGCAAAAGGCAAATCCTCTGTTTCCGTCCATTGTAAAATACTCGTCGTCATCTCAGGTTATCAGGAAGATACCACCCATAATCTACCGGGTGGTTCCAAAGGTGCAATTACGAACTTCTTGTTCAGTCCCCTTTAAATTCTTACGCACGCCGATGTAAAGTCTTTGGATGGTCCTAATGAAGTGTTCAGTTTTTGGTCAAGTGCATGTTGACGACAAGAGGACATAAGCCATGCAGGGCTTGTCGCGACTTCATTTCGCCAAATCACTCCATGTTAAACGCTGGTCATCAATTTAAAAGAGTTCTTGCAATTTTCCGATTGGCTGATTTGCCGATTAAAAAAAGTTTATGATCGCAATTTCAGGATGATGTTATTTCATTTCAACATGGTTTGCGCTATTGTGCTGTGGATCTTCGTTTTTCAGTCAGTGGTTGTGCTTACCATTCCGGATAGATATCAGAATACCATACCCCAACAGGTGACCAAATATTGTAACTAGTTTAATTTTTTTCGCTCTGAGAAACCAGTAAAAAGACAATAAAGACGTTTCCAAGCTTTTCAAGTTCTTACAAGTACTTGGGGGTAATTCTTCGGGGTTATAGAAAACTGTGTTCTCACATCAACTAGGTTTTATGTTTAATTTAAATGCTTAATAAAAAGGTTCCCAAATTATAGTCAAATATTTTTTTTTCTGATTTTAGATGCTGTAGACGTTTTGCTTTCTTTCAGTTTAATTTAAATAAATATTGTGCGACAACTTTTTGAAACACTGCTATATACTTTCAGACCAGAAAGAACAAACGTATTTATGCTAATATATGCAAAAATTGGAAAAAAAATAATTAATGCATTCCGTAATTGCAATTTTTGGTGAATTCACAAAAAACTAACCGAAAACTTATAGAGCAAATTCTTGGAAAAAACATGTTTAGACTACAAGCAGTTACAAAACAAACTGTTAACTGCGGCCCATCGTGAACACGAAAATGGTAAACAGTCCTTAACGTCTTACTTGGTCTTTATATCGGGTACTTATTTATCCAGATAGGTCATAAAATGTATTTGCTAAAGCGATAAAGTGACAAACATACGTTCCTGATACAGTCTTGTAAATTCCGAATAACTAAGCAGCAAATCTTCGATTAGAATTTAATACAATAGCGATATGTTTTACTATTAAATTTGTTTTTGAAAAAACAACACGATTAGCTTGAGCTCTCTAAAGGATGATACAGTCCAAGCATTTTCTCCCATGAACTAACTGAACACCACCTTCCAATCGATATACAGGGCGTTCTTACATATATCTTACATGTATGATATAAAAAGTATTGCAGCTGTAAATTTAGAAGTTATACATATTTCAATTTGATGCGGCTGCATTCGAATTTGCAGAAATTAACAAGGTATAAGGGAAAAAATAGCGTTAAAATTCAATACTTTCAGTCCTTCCAAAGTGTACTATACGCAATTGAAGAAAGGCTGAGAAACCTGGACCACATTTACTCCGTTCAGCTGTCTGAGACGTTGCATGCCAAACTGGATCAATATAACCGAAAATTAGACTCTCTAGACACCAAAATCATTCGACTGGAGGCGATGGTGATGATGAATCTGGATCGACTATCCGAAAACATCAGCACGAAAAATCACAAAGACGACATGGCCCGGACGCAGATCTACAACAAGCTGGAAACGATGCACGATGGACTAAATGAACGACTGGATGCAATGGATCGGAAGTGTGATGCATCAATGGAAAAAATTCAGGTAAAATCCACTTGAGGTCCGAAAAGCTTAAGTATTGGGTGGAAATTTTAGAAAAAAGTAGACTCAACTGAGAAGCGTCTAGAGAGAATGGAGGAAGACATGTTGCAAAGAAACATGGACACCGAAGCCGAGCTATCCGAAGCGCTGGGTATTTTGGAAACTTTGAAAAGTTCTTCAACTGAAATGGATCTGAGAGTGGCAAACATATCAAGCGATTTAAAAGTACCCATGCCTCCCAAAAAAAAACGTGGAATCATCTACAACTTGCGCTTTCCAGGACACTTTACAACAGGCATCAATGATTGATAACCTCAATACGAGCATGTATGATCTGTTTGAGGACTTTAACAGTTCAATGAGCAGGCAGTTTCTTTTCCTGCAGGATCGATCAACTGCGTCCATCGATGCTACAGAGGACACAAACACGGCGCTAACTTCTATGAGGGTGGAATTGAAAGAAGACTTTAATGCCTATGCAAATAAGGTGAGCTCCAACAAGATTTGCTAGAAAACATCTACAAATTCATCTGCATACACTTCAGGTGGCTGACATGAATGCAGATATTTGGAAACGGAACGATTTGGCCGAAGAAGCTCTTAAGGCGATTGAAGCTATAGCCAATAGTACAAAGAGTGAGCTGCAAAATGGTATCCGAGCTCTAATGCTACAAATTGGCAAAGGAACTGGTAAGGGAATTATATCAGCTAACGGTAAGAATTTCCCAAAGTCACCCAAGCCATAAATGTAGTATTTACAACGTTTCAGATAAAAACGCGATGGAATCCTTAAAACGAGGTGTAAATCTCAGTTTGGAAAAAATTATCACCAACCAAGAACTGTTCCTGGAAAGCTGCCACCGAGTGCAAATGGATGAGTCTCAAATAGAGTCCGAAATCAGCATGATGCTGGGAAAACTAATTGACATGTTGGAATCCAAGTAAAAACCCTTTTACACACAACAATTTTAAAACCCCTGCACAAATCAAACAACTTCAATTAATTACAGAATAAGCATAGTCCTGAAAGATGTGAAAAGCATTGATAAAACCCTCAAAAGTCACGACAGCAGAATGCAAAGAAGTCTACATCAGGCCAACACCAACATTGTGTCACTGTACGACCGAACAACCAAAGCATATGACAATGTTGACAAAGAATTGCACAATATTAAATTAAATCTTGAGTCGCTTTTCGTCTTTGTGGAAAACAGTTTGCCTGGGCCAAAGGAAATAAACACCAAAGAGGTAACAGAAAGTTAAGACTGTAATAAAAACCGCTAATGACAAAATATAAATTTTTAGGACATTCTGAATAATATTTCTCTGAACATTTCCAAATTATTGCACTTTTTGAACAATAACAGTACGGAGTTGAGTACAAAATGGGACCAGTTGGAAAATCAGTTTTCCGAAAACAAAGTAACAGTTGATAAAGTCCTAAGCCATATAAAAAATGTTACCGATATGGCATTGAATGAAGGCCTAACCCAGGATATTCACTTGACGAAAGATATTTACAAAGCTGTTGGTGAGATTAAATTGATTCTTGCCAATTTGCAGAAAACTGGTTTCAATTGCGAGAATAGAGAAAATGGCGTTGTACAGAAAAACTCCAGTAGACCGAAAAACTGCACGGATTACGGGGATTTGATTGATATCAGAACTGGGGAAATTTCCTGCAATGACCCCGAAATAAGTCCAGGGGCAAATGAAGACCTTGATAAGAAGATATTTGATATTTTCGGATCGCCTCCTGCAGCCTTAGTCCCTAATACCCACAGGGTGGTCTATCCAAGCTCAACAATCAACCAAGGGCACTATAATCAACGCTGGCCTCATTTTAGTAACGCCGAATTTGTCAATGAACATGTAGCAATAGCCATAAAGCAGGGACATCATCATAGAAGATTCAAGCCCAAGTTACAATCTAGAGCAGGCGATGATGAGCAGGATGAGGAATTTGATGATTCTGCTACTGAAGAAACAACCACTGGATTTACTACAGAAATTCCTTCAACAACAGAAAGCGTGGTCGGAACCACAGTTGCAGCGGAAATAACGACCACAGCATGAATTTCAGTTAATGTTGAAGTATACAGAATGTTGAACCAAAGAGTTATGTTAAATTATCCGCTTGCCTAAAGACAATGTAAATACATAGCTTGTATATTTTGATAGCAAACGCTCCACTTTCAATGCATTTATTGACATAATAAACAAAAGTTTTACAAAAGAAATTTGATTGAAAAGAATTGTCTTTAATATCAACTGCAAAAGAAGTCATGGAAGTGTACGTAAATTTTATGAGGGGTCGACATTTTTAGCCTATTTTAAGCGGTTTTAAGGACTCAAGGACTTGTATATGCATATTGGGCAGCTACTTTGGTGGGAAATAATTGATAATTGAGATCAAAAAACACGCATGAAAAATTTTGATTTTTGACTGAAAAGTTCATAGGGTTCAAAAATATCAATTGTCTCAAAATGCCTCGAATTCAAGGTCATTATCATCAAAAGGAAGCGAGGAATACTACAAACTCAGCGGAAAGCAAACTAGGAACTTCAGATTCAAAATAATAAATATGTTTGGTCCATTTTAAGCGAATTTTTTTGCGGTCTCGATCTTTAACCGACGATATATTGCTTATTATAGTCCCAAACACTTTATATTTGCACACTAGGAAGCTGGGAAATCATCCAATGCGCTAAAAAACACGCATGAAAAATTTTAATTTTTGACTGAAAATTTCATTTTTCAATTGATTTTTGAAAAATAGCACGTTTCTCAAAATGCCTCTAATTCTACATTGCGTTCATAAGAAGAACGCGATGTATGCAACGAATGGATTGAAAAATGCATTAGAAACTTCAGATTCGAAATAATGGACATTTTTGGCTCATTTTAAGCTCTAATAATCTGAAATCGACGATATCTAATCTATAGAAATTATCCAGCTGAGATACCATAGGTTTGCTTATCGGCAATTAAATTCTTCGGTATTTTTACTGAAAAAAGATCTACTAAGCGAAACAAATTTGTTTGTGCCCAACAATAAAATTCTTAAAACACGGTAAAATAGTTAAGTATACCAACATATGAATCTCACAAATATCTACAAAAGAGCTTTTGTTTTCTTTGCTAGAGAAAGTTGTGTATGTTTGTTTAAAGGACTTGTATGTCCATGGAAAAAACTGTGTTGGCTTTCAAGTGAAAAGGAGCTTCCAAAGCTGCTGTTGATACTGCAGAAATCAGGACTCTGATCATAAAATTAGTCACTCACCTCCACTTTTGCACTATTCTGGAAAACAGTTTGCGCTTTATGGGCCAACTGAGCAAAACAGGACCCGATGGAGCCTAACTTCTGTCTGGCATTGAACACAGTAGCGCTATCTTCACCCTCAATTTCGCCTAAAAGCACACAATCCAGATAATTAAATTATTACCAAAAGCCAAAATATAACAACATTAATAAATCAATTCCCAATCAGTGGCTGAAAAGGGTTGAATGAATATGCCCTTTTTCAGTGATAAACTATTGCACTTACCCAAACTCAAATCCAAGTCGACGAAAGCGTTGTCGAACTCTTTTTCCAGAATATCCAGCCATCGAAAGCCGACACCAGCCATTTTTTTAGTAGTCCTGCATTTGATTTATAAAGAAAAACCAATTTTCACTACTCCGAGTTTTCCTCGACGTGTGAAAACATACGTCAAAGTCAAACTAGTCTGTGGTCAAACTTGAAACAATTTTAATGCCTTGATGCCGATATGATGTTTATTTTGTAACAGGATTAGCTGCAAATAATTTTCTGCTGTTTCTCATAGTTTATATAATTGCCACACTTGGAATGAATGTAGATTGTGTCAAATGCCGTAGTCAGGTAAAATGTTTTGAGTACGCTTCAAGATTTCAACGTCAACTACAGTTATTTAAGCAACGGCTTTTAAGGCATTCAAGGATTTTCTGATGGGTTTGGATACGCTGGATTCTGTTGGTCTGCATTATTGCCACCGAGGCAAGATTTTACAGGTTATGCGGAAAAAAATTAAATGAAGTTTACTCTAAAAATACTAAAACCAAGAGTAAATGCATAAACTTCATGCTGTTTTAACAAATAGCCAAATGTGTTCTAGATTTGAGCAAGTTTTGAGATTTTCACTCCTTTCGAAGCTTCCACATCAACAGCGCCGTAAAATAATCATGACCATCTGACAATCGTGCGTCCGCAATTGCCTTCCAACATTTTAGGGTTATGTCTTTCAGAATTGACAAGTTATGTATTGTGTACAAAACAACAAACGCTACAACTGAAACAACGGCGAAGCGTCTGGACGAAGAACATTGTTCTTGTGCAAATTGATTCTGTTTAACATCAAAGTGCGATGGTTTCCGATACAGAAGATCCCTACGCTCAAGCAGCTGTAGGCAAGTTGAAATTGAAGAAAGACGATGGAATCAAGAAGAAAAAAAAGAGGAAGCACAAGAAACTGTTGGAGAAAGCTGTGAAGACTATTGAGAGCACGGCTGAGGAGCTCCAAGTTCAGCAAATTGAAACTCCGAAAACGAAGGCAGAACTTGCTTTTCTAAGACAGCAGGAGAAGATGGTACGACTTACATTTGAAAGTTTTCGGCTACAGCCACATAAGCTGCTTTAAATAATTGCTAAAAATGGGTTTATGGTATTTTCAGAGAACGCAGCGTATTTTGGAAAAGGCATCCATGACCCACAAGGAGAGAGTGGAGAAATTCAACCAGCACTTGGATAGTCTAACCGAGCACTTCGACATACCCAAAGTATCCTGGACTAAGTAAAATGCGCCCATGTGTGTTTCCTTAACATTTATTTGTAAATATACATTTAAGTTAACAAACTAGAAATGCAACATCAATTTCGTTTTTTATCAAAGTTTACAGCTTCATTAATAACACTGCGAAGACAGTTGGCGAATTTCTGCGGTGTAAAGCTTTGGTCCAGCTTTTTCCTTCCATTCACACCCATATCTTTGACACTTCCTTTGATAATTCTATGCATAAACTCTGCCATACTTTGTGCGGTAGGTTCACATAAGTATCCGGTTATTCCATGATCGACAGTTTCGCGGGGACCTCCACTATTCATCGCTATAACAGGCTTGGAAACTAGCATGGCTTCGAGAGGAACGATGCCAAAATGCTCCTTTAGTGGCGTGTATAATAAAGCTGTGCAGGAATGCAGCAAGTCCACTTTTACACTATCTGAAGGTGACTTTAGGAAGATGATTTTCTGTTCCAGAGATTTGCTTTTTGTCAGTTGGGATAATTCCTCAAAAGTAGCCGCATTTGTCCTATTGATTGGATCAAATCCGCCGGCTAAAACACAGTAAGTCTTTTCCCATTCCGAGTCTGTTGACAAAGATTTCAGCTTCTCCATGGCATCAACAGCAAAATCGAGCCTTTTAGCTGGATGGAAACGATTCACTGATAAAAACACTATCAAATCGTCCCTTTTGGATGTAATCTCTTTAACCACTTCGTGAATAGGTTTTCTTCTAGTGACTTTCTGCACACTTCGCTGAAATGAGTGTGCAATAGTAGGATACAGTATTTGAATGGGCTTCTCGATCTGTGGGAACGTTTTCCTGAAAATCTCCGCTGTATAATTGCTGTTCACCAAAATTATATCAGAGAGGGCTGTAGATTTGAGCTCTAGCCAATCGATGGGTTTCCGATATAGTTTCTTCAGTACACCTCCGGGCGGCGAGGCAAGTAAGTCTGGATGGTGGCAGTAGTAAATCACCTTTTGCTTGGCCAGCTTCAAAATTGGAATTGCTATGGGAATCAGGTCGATGAAATACAAGTCAGGCTGATCAGGGCCTTTGAAAAACAACACAAATACTAAGGTAAGGTACAGCATTCGCAGATATGCACAAAGGGCCTGGCATTTTCCCAAAATCGATCTGGGCAGCCAGTCGCCGTACACTTCGACAGCAAACTCCCCTCTTTTCAGCTCCTCAAATGCATGGCTCTTATCGAAATGATTGGTAACAAACAGTATTTTGTGGTTTTGCCTCTTCAAAGCGGCTGCGACATCTAAGACAAGTCTTTCGGCGCCTCCTATTCCCAAGTCCGGGTGGATGAACGCGATTTTCAGTCCATTCTCACTCATTATTGCGATTTCATATTCAACGCTGCACTATGTATTTTAATTTAACTTGAGATAAGAACCAAATAGCTACACTGATACTATTTGGTTATGTTTTGAATGGAGCCCCTTTTTGTTTGTCAAACATGTCACGATGGCCAACAAAGAGGAGAGAAGTCATTGGACGCCTTCCTTTCTCGTTCTAATAGACCAATTTGTCTCCATAGCATTCGTGGTGTTGTGTGGTCTATACTTTTGTTTATAATTGGATAAATAATTAACTCAGCAGTAATAATCAACATTTACTTACCATTTTCAGACATCTTCCCGTCTCATGAGGATATACATACATATATAGAAATAAATACAAAATATATATGAAGAAAGACATTAATAGTAAGACAAACAAGAGTTACATAGAAGGTATATTAAAAGAAATGAACATATATGTCAGTTATTGTCCGAATTTTAGTAAAGCTTAAAGTGGTCGAAGCACAAAAGCTGCCATGAGAGAAGTAAAAATCATCGAATCATAATTTATAAATTACATAAATATAAGGCAATAAAATTAGTTGCAGTGACTTCTTTAAAGTAAGTCAAGTGACTGATTTACCAAATTATTCCTTGCTTAACGTAATATATTCTCACCGTAAAACTTCAATATTCAAGAAATATTACATTAACACTCTTACTGAGATATGCAGCAAAGTAACTGCTGCAAACATTGTAAAAAATTACGAAACCGAAAATGTTAGTGTTAAAAGCTAGACTAACAAAAAATTTGCGTTTAAGGCTAAATTAGCTCCTAAAGTATTATCTAAAACATTAAATAAAGCAGGTACATTTCAGGTCGTGATACAACCACTAATACCCTAAAAAACAAACTGAATGGAACATTCTTACATAGTAAAAAATATTTAGATCCATGTTAGAATACTACAATCTGCGAACGTTCAGTCATATAGATATGTTTTAATTTTTAACTAAGTGTACACGTACTTATAATAGACTATGAAATATCCATGAGGACAATGAATGAGTTGAATAACTTGTTAATTTTACCTAGTCGCGGATAACATTAATATTAGAAGCAAAATTGGTTCCACTGAATATTCGCATTATTATTACTTAAAATCTACCTTTTTGTATATGTGAACCCATTTTAACTTCTTCGCTACTATCTTCACAATGTACCATAAACATTTTAAAATTTGATTAAAATTTTGCAATAAGCCGATACTCCTAAAAGTCTTCAACACATTTAGTTCATGATTATCATTAGATTCTTACGATTAAGTTTTATTGGACGTTAAGATATCCTATTGCACTCATTTCCAGTTATAACGAATTGTACATTATTACTATATGTGTATGTATATGTATGATTGATAATGGATTTGTGACTTTGGATGAACATTTACAACATTTAATTTATAAGATTTCATTCCACACTGGCTATAGGACAATTTTGTCTCAACATTTATCCTGTCCGATTAAAACGGCTTTTTTACTTAATCTCTTAACAGCAACACTCAACTACTCGTTTAGTAAGAGTGCTTAAAATGTTTCAAAAGTCGAAAATATCGAGCAGAAAAGCGCTTCTTTGCAATTAGGCCATCCACATTGCTGTCGTTCTGGGTCAATTTACATAACAATTAAAACCGCAATAAAAAAATAATTTATCTAAAATGCGTGCAAGTTTTGTGATGACTGAGCAACAGAAAATGATTTACGCGACACATACAATGAACAATCTTAAAATATAGTGATAAAACTTAGCAACTAATATATATAAAATATTTGGTATAAAAATATTTAAACATATTGCTGAGATGATATGTGAAACAATACTCGACTACGTCGATTTTTACCATTGGTCTTACGACGTGTAAACGCTCTCATATACAGAGTGTATTAGAAAACATCAGCGGTCAGGCCCAATTAATTAACAAACGGAATAGCCAAAACTGGAATATTTTGATTATAATGACTATACACAGCAGATCATTGAGAAGTGATTCATTTATATCTCCTATTGCTCAATATCCATGTGAACTCGCTTACACGTGAAGTTTTCTAAACACCCATGTGTATGGGAAGCAAACATGAAAGTAGTTGAATGAGAAAAGCAAGGTGGCTGTTATGGGCCAGCCAGAACTGTTATTTACATTAAATAATGAATTTACAGCGATATGACTACATATAACTGTATTGTATGTACAAAAAAACCGAGACTTAGCCTTACAAATTAGTAAACGGATGAAACTTTAAGAGGAGGATTTATCATTGGAAAAACAACAAAGAGCAATTAGTAATAAACCAGTCCATATGAACTGCTTTATTAACTGTCGGTGTCGTTTTGATCGGATAAATCTTCCTTCAGCCACTTTGGGATTAATCGAATACCATTTTTATTAAACAACTTCACTAAGGCTGTATTGTGACTAAGGTAGTACCTTTGGAGATATTTAAGGGACCTCTCTTCCATCGGAGGGTATTGCCGGCCTTTATTGCGTCCTAAACATTTCGTACTACCTTCCTTGACTTGGCAAAAGAAGCCTTTCCTCTTATCGAATCTACACAAGAAGCAAATTATTCGTAATCTGCATTAATAAAGTTGCACTATTACTTACCTTAAATGTTCCGTATAGTTTAGAAAAGGAGTAATTTTTAAGAACTTTTGCAGTTCGTTCATTACTTCGATCGGATTCGACTTCAACTGATCTCCATCGATAATGTGGATTGAAGCTTGCGGGAAATAACTCATCCACCTTTCCAAATGCTGTGCATATTTTCCCGGATTCAGACACCTAGGGATTTTAATTAGTACTTGCGATAAATCAAGTCAAAAGCCGCCTTAATTTACCTATTTCGCAGATCTCTTAAGTCTTTAGTCGCAGCATCACTAGCGGTGATCACCTGGTGGAAACTGAAATTGTTCGCAACATTGTCGCGGTGTGCTTTCGTATGTTGATACCAAGAATAGGCCCGTTTGGCTGGGGATATTAAAATTGTTATTAGCTTGGCATAAGGAAGAAGCGCGTGGACTCGTCTTGGCACCAATTCCCCATCAAAGTATGTTGCGCTTTTCTCGAAGAAGTAACGAGTTAAAGAGTTTGTGTCACTGGGGAAGAAACTCATATACCTGAAAAGAACATTTCTATTGCAAAATAGTTCGGTATGTTTTAATGAAACTCACCAATCCAAGCCTCTTAGGTAATTCTGAGCGTTAAAAAATTGAATTTCTTCGAAAGTTGTCGGACTAGGCACATTACTAGCAATGGATGGATGTAGGGATAAAAAAGTAGAAAGTGCAGTGGTTCCAGTCTTTTGCGGCCCGATGACAAGAAACTTGGGCAAAGAGTCGCACGACTTGTTCTTAGACCATATCTTTTGATGCCGTACATCGTCACACGGATTCTATAATGCAAAATATGTCTAATCTATGATCGCCTGACTTGCGCTTGTAAACTTACCCCCCAAATAGGATCAGATTCGCGTGGATACAGCTTAAAGTAATTCTCAGCCAATTGCAACGGGGGAGCAGAAGTGAGCCTGATGTTCGTCCAACACTGAACGAATTTAATCACCGATTCAAACGTGTAGAGGCCCAAGCGATCGTTGCCGTAGTTCGACATATGGGTCATAAAGATGTTTATCTGAAAAATCCAAAAAATGACGAAAACGGCTCAAATAAACAATCAAGAATTTACTGGATTGTAGACGATTGTCTGGAAGAGTTCGCCGCCTTGGATAGATTCGTCTAGCTTTTCTCTACCGCCAGGGTATTTATCTATGAACATGGTATGGGTGAATAATCCGCAAGTTTGTCTTGGAAGCACCATTATGTTTCTATGGATAAAACCCCTTCGTAGTCTAAAACAGTCGGATTATTAATGATTAGTTCTTAAGCAAAACCAGCCAAATGATAGTCACCTTGCTGGCCGTAGATGCGGATATTCTTCGGTGGAGGTGACTCGAATTTTCCAGACTTTTTTCCAGGCTATGTACAGTAAGTCGTGCACGGGGTAGACGCCTGAATGATGAGGAGATATCGAATAACCCGAATCAATGGGAATTCCTGAAACAAACAGTTGTTTTTTTCTAAAAAACCAAATTTTGGAATTAACTAACGGTGTTGCTTGGCGAAGTTCTTGTTTAGCACCATATCGTCCATCAACAGACTAAGATTGTCATACAAATGAGGTTGTTGATGATTCCACATATGCGAAAACCACATAAACTTCTCAACGTTTTCCAATATTAAGTCGTCCCCTTTATCTTCCTCACTGTTTCCATGGTGGAAATATTTCCCGGAAAATCCCAGGTTAAATTTGAACCCCGGCACTGATGCACTCAGCCTATAACCACGTTTTGATAAAATTTCATCCAATTACCGTCAGTTTCACTTGCCTTTTTTGAGTATTAATCAATGCCTCCACATCGTCGGGTTTAAGTCTTGTCCCAATATCGCCTACAAAAATGTCGTCAACATCTACCAGGATGGACCGTTCCAAAGATAAACTCAAATGGCCATGACTAAGGTAGCTAAGACTGTCTAGAAAAAGCAACCGATGCAGCCAAAACTTCAATCCCGAACCAAATATGATTCTCTGGATGTTATCAAAAAGTCCATGGTCCTGGATAACTGTTGGCAAAGGAGTTTTTACACCACCTGCCAGATTCAATCGGTTACAAGAAATCCGAAATAATTTGTTGCTTAAGAACATACTTTCATTGATTGGAAAAAAGTCATTGCGATGCGCCCATTCCAAAGGTTCATATGTGGAATGATTGGCTTTGAAAATCGTCCAATCGTTGCCCGGTAGGTCGCCCCAAGCTGTTTCTCCTGCTCTAGTTAGTCGCAATATTTCAGAGGCTGCATTAAGAGTCGCATCTTTCAATTTTAAATTTGTGTGAATGAATAGTGGGAAACCTTTTAGTTGCGACCCTACATAAGTCTCATCCTCGGCAGGTATAAAACCTACAATAAAATCAAATGCTTCTGATTGAGACGATACTACTTAATATCTAGCATTTTATAATCTTAGAAATAATTTAACGAATTAAACTTAAGTAATGCATTAGAAATTAGAAAAGCTTCTCAATTATATCCTCGATTATTCTCATAATCGAAGCATTGAAATCATATAACTGAATTCTTCCCATCGCTAAAAAACACTATAGAGAGTTTTTACTGCAATCAATTTTTCTCATTTACCGATAATTCCGACAGAATACTCTCTGCAGTACTTATCCAGGAGTTCTCGGTTCCAATTGTCCATTTGCAAATATTTATTGTAGTTTTCAAAGATGATAACTCCATATCGGCCCTTATCTAAATTGGTCAGCACTGGTAAGCTCTTGCCGGTGACTTCTACTTTGTACCTGGAAAGTTCTATATTATGACCTTAAATCGAAGTAAAATCCTTGAATGAACGGAACGGAGATTTAAGTGAAAAAATTCGGATTTTTACCAGCGATGATCTGGAAAGATCCCGGATCCAAAAATACATGTTATACATTTATTTGTTCAGATCAAAGATATTTATTGGCGCATACTTGCGCACATACTAAGCGTGTTGGAAAAAGAAACGTGCGGAACATTTGATAACCAATTAACTATAAAGTAATTCATATTTTCCACATCGCAACTCATTAAAATGTTTCATGATAAACGATCTTGAAACCAAACAAGGGTCATTTGTTACATTGGCAATTCAATCAATAAACAATTCGCCAGTAGGCGTTTATGTACACAGGTTTCATGTAGTGTTAAATAACAGTATCGAGAGTGCTGTGCTACCTAAATAGTAGTGCAGTTAATGGAAAAAGGAAAAAAAATATAGTAATAATAATGAGTAATTCCGTCGGAATTTCCATTAATCCTAGACAAAGACCGGATTGTTCAATTGCGATGCTTCATCCTGAAAACACTCACTTGATTCTGGTGTGAACAAGCAACTCGGCAATATCTTTTCCCAACTTTGAAAATATGGTTTCGACAAAAACCAAGACTTTCGGATCACTTTTTAAGCGAGCATCGGTTTTGTGGTCGTGATTCTGTAGAATTCGTAGGCCATGCTCAACACCACACCTTATGTTTGGTTCTGGTCGTGTATTCGATTTAATAAATCTGAAAAAAGTTATTTATTTCGCTATATTAAATATTTACAGAAAAATTAATAATTCTTTTAGCCTCTAGCGGGTGTTGTTTCACCAGCCACTCAGTGTCTGGGTATTGTTTATATGTTATGTAGACTCTCATGTGGTAATAATATATTATTCACTGTAAATATTTAGGAAGGTAATGTAACATGTTTATAAATATTACATGGAGTTTTTCACTATTTTCTTGTCTACATAAACACTGAAACGGTAAATAAATGAGTAGTTAAATAACAACTGGATTGGTGGATCGCCACTATTTCCTTCAGATAAAGCGTATTGGCCTTATTCGAGTGCACTAGTTGAAAGCTTATCAAGCAAACGAACAAAAATTGAAATGCAGTAATAAATTGACCTCATTTGTTTAAAATATGCAGCCTACATTTCCAATTTTTTTCTGTGATAACCATGCATTTGATCAATAAGCACGTACAGCTGCTTGGAGATTTATCTTAGAAACTCGCATTAGTGTGTTTGTTTATTATTATTGCGCGTATGTTTTGCTACCGCACGGGTTTCAAAAGTTGATAAACTTTTTATGATCAAATTATGACTCTTCCAAATAAAGAAACACGATATTTTACCCGAATATTGTTTTCATCTGCGTAATATTTTACCTACGATTTCGATTTGACCGTTCTGCGCTTTAAAAGAGAGTCTTATCATTAATACTGTGGAGATAATTTATTGGCAAATAATAAATATTGAATTAAAAGCCGATCAACCAGCAGTTGCGTTTTCAATCAGTTACTTGCTTGATTATTTGCTTGGAATCTACAGTTTGCTTAAGGTGTAGCCATACAGCAGCATATATTACGTATTATTAATAATTGTGTATATTTTCCTGATTGTATTTCAACTTAATTGAAAAGAAATTCCTGGGTTCCAGTCAATTTTAAATGGTAAACAATAAAATTGACTGGAATCCAGGAATTTATTTTAAATTATTAATAATAAGAGAATGTTTGTACGGAAGTTCAGCAAGCTCTAAAGCATACAATGCAATTATCATATAATTTTTTCCATTTGTTTTGTAAGAAGTATATTTACGCATTACTTTCCTCTGTAATAAATTGTTTATTCCGTTCCAGATTGAACCACAGTTTCATGGTTTTATTTAGATTTTTTTAATTTAAACTGTTGCAGAATCTTCATTTATAGTTCCAAATATGGTTTTACACAAACAATTAAAATTTTGAATTCTCCATTTTTTTTTCTTACGTGTTGGTTTAAATTACAAAATAATACTCTCTACTAAAATAATGCAAAGAAATTGATAAGATGGTAACAAACTCTCATAAATAAATATTCCCTACTAATATAACTGCTATAAATGCGTTAACTGTTTCGAAGCTTGGTTCTCTTCTTTTATTACTTTACTACTACTATTAACAGTTTACTAGATCAAATGTTTCTATAATCAAGTAAGACAATCAGCCTGTACATTTAAATAAAATCTGGACTTGCAGTTACGGGAAACTTTAAATAATAATTACATTTTTAGTTTAATTAAAGAAATTAAATTCAAGTAGCAGACATGTCTCAAGTGGATTACAATTAAACACTAGCATGTATTTGCTTAAACGTAATACACACATACAAATTAAATATTTGGCTTTACTTAAATTAAAGTGGCTGGGTGGCATTTTTCAAAATTAGCTTGTACCGAGAAAGCAACACAATGGATGACGAGACCTTATTTAGATACACAGGGTTTTGCTACGTGGATGCCTTGCATAAAATTGTACCATATTTCAAAATTGGTTCCCGATCTGCACCGTGTTAAAAGCTCTGATGAGTGAAATACATCTGATAACATTACGGGAACCGCCTGAAATATTCGAATAAAACTTAACACGATATGAGCGCCAACAATGCATGTTTTGCAATAAAAAGTTGCACTATTTTGGTGGGCATTTGGAAAAAAGTCCATTAAATAAAAGCGTGCTAATTCAATACTCAGGATTAGTAGTTGAACGAATTTTATCTAATCGATAAAATTATACCTATAATTTGCATTTTACGATAGAGTTTAGGACATGTGATCACCGCCATTCTTCTGATAAAATTGGTCTGTAAATGTTTTACTCAACAACAGTTTGTTGCGTAAAAAGTCAGAAGATCAAATTGAACAAATACAAAGTAGGACAATGAAGGATTTAAATAAAATATTCTAAGCGAGTTTGATCATTATTAAGAAATATTATCCTTTTATTTAAAAAGTTAACACACCAAGTGTAGGTGGCAAACTAAGAGTTTTTAGAACATCACGTGTTCTAATACGTATTGTATAGTTAAAAGTTTGTACGAGTCCTACTTTGTACATACATTCTAGATCTAATTTAATCCAATAAATTTATTTTCACTGAATTCTCAAAGATTTTGGAAATATCGAGGGTATGAATTTACCAAGTTGAATTAGTAGCTTAGCAAAAACATAAACCTCAATTAATAAAATGAAAATATATCAAAGTATTTCATAAGCAATGCATCTTTAACGAGCATGCAATCGAGCAAGTAGGATTCTTAAGCAAACTGTAGTTTCTACTTATTAGTCAAATTTAATCAGATTTCGCAATTATTTACACCGAGATATCCGCTACGTTCTTAATGATTAGAATTTGTCATAAATTGTTTTATCAAAACCATTCTTTGATGTGTAAAGACTGAGATAAAAGTGTGATAAAACCGAAATTAACTAAGTGCTCCTAATTAAATAAGATTTTGTCTGAATAGGCAAAATTATAAACCAATCACTAAAAGGAAATATCGTTAATAAATGTTTGATTAATGGTTTAAAAATTATATAATAGAATGCATGACATGCTTTTAATAAGCAGACTCGAATTTTACACAGCATACACTTACTTGGCTAAGTATGGTGTTCTAGTTTGTCTCGAATAAATTATAATCAGGATAATGCTGAAAATCACAACTGCTACTACACATTTCCTTAGAGTTGACGGTCCAAATACGCATCTTGTATGTTTGATTCTTTTCACCCTTTGTTTTAGGTATACCAAAGAGCTTCTAATTAGGGATTGATCATCATCAATCATAACTACGTATTTTATTTAGTACGGAAGTACTAACTCTTTCACTTTGGTGAAATTGGTTCACAGTTCACTTGGTTTCACTAATGGCTTAGAATTATGGCACAATTATTAATGGAATGTTAACTATAAGATCTTCATCTACACCATCACGTTTCCTATTATCTTAAAGGGTGAACACTTTGAACAGTTCTCCATTTGCTGTGCTTCCAAATTTCCAAATCAACAATTCTTGGCATTTTCTTGTCGAGCCTCGTCGATTTTCTCATTCTTGTATCTCTGTGCATCGCTGCATGATAAATACATGCCTTTAAGCCCTTACAACTCTGCACTCAGGAACGAACTGAAAACAATAAAAGTGGATATGGAGGCTGCTATCCTTTGGCGAGACGCACATTATAATTCAAAGTGCACCGAATGTAATAATTTGTATTTAAACGGCGGACATTCATTTTTTACGTAAACAGAACGTGAGCAGCAAATAAAAATGTTTATTTATTTTAGACATACTTAATATATCAGGAGATAATAATATAACCTTCAAATGGATTTCACTCAATATCAATCCTTGTGCTCATTGCCCAGATGCACTAGCAGATTCAGGACGATTATCCACATCACTATAACTCATTTACACTAAATTTGCACACATTTTTAGTCACTAAAACCGATAATAATGCAAAGTTTCACACTACAAGAGTATTACCCCGACACATCAATTATTACTAAGGAAAATAAGGCTGGAAATGAACGTCATTGGTCACAATCGTCGCTGTCAATTAACCAACTAGGTGAAATGTTAGTTGCCTATCACCTATTCTCAAAACCATGCATTTAAAATGCTTGAGCTCGACTTAATTTTTTAAAGTTTTAATTTTACACGCGTTGGTAGAGACTGAAAGAATCTATAGCTTAAGGGTACATATGTAATAAATTAATAAATAACAAACATGTAGGAAACGGCGGCATCTACGAGCAGAATAAAAGAATATCGCGACTTTTTTGTTATATACAGAGTGGATATTTTGCGGAATTTTGTGCAAATATGCCGAATAAAATGTGAAATTTATGGAATATTATTTTGAGTATCAATAATTTTTAGTGGCTTAATAGCAAATTTGGGGAAAATTTTTTTTCAGTCTTCCAAACATTTTGATGGCAAAATGTGGATTTGAACTTTAGCGAGCTGAATATTTTAGCAAAATTTTTGCGCATAGAAAATACAGGTCTGCTCAGAAATTTTGAAAAACTGCAACAAAGGCAACCTAAGGAGATAACTGTATATGGTCTTTTGACAAACTCAGCTAAATTTGCCAACTAATTCTCCACAAAAACGCTCTGTTACAGAGAGAGATATTTGCGACTAAACAAGAGAATGCAGGATATTGCAAGGGCCGGAATTAAATTAGCTCCCTAGTTGCACCTGAGAACATTCCATATTCCATATATAAAATAATATAAAAACCACAATTAAATCATGAAGTTATTTAAATACGTGCCCACATAAATCAGACTGATTTTTTGTTTTTAGCGCCAGTGCAATGGACAATAAATAAATGTGCCCGCAAATGATAAATGCGGTTGATTCGCTGATCTACATTTTTTCGCGAAACCACAAATGTACGCCTTATAATTCATAGTCAACCGTAGCAGCAGTTGCAATAATATTCATCTTCCTCAGAATAAAAGTAAGAGAACATAGGGCTCATTGGGCCAAAAGCTACATTGATGTATGAAGCAATGCTGCCTCATATAGAAGAGTGCTATTAAATATTTAAACGGTAAAGACTACATGAACTGCAAAGAAAAATTGCAAAAAATAACGTTTAGAAATTGTCACCGACTTCCCCTAAAAATATTTAATGCAGTTATTAGTTGCATTTTTCCTCGGTTAGATGTTACACAAAAAAGAACGGATAAAACCGCATCAGGTACGCAACAAAACTACCACCACTAGGTGGATTTACGTAAATTAATTATATAAGTTTTTTGTATAAAACTGGGTATTTGCCTTTGGTTGTACAAGATCACTTTTGACCTGCTGCGATTGATTGGGTGCAGAATTATGACAATTTTTGTGAGTAATTTTCACAAATTTACTGTCTTCCTTTAGTGTTTTTACTTATAAGATTTTCGGTAATTTTGTTGAACTTTTCATAGATTACCCGGATAATTGCATTAACAGTAATATTGGGGGATGCAATGATAGAGGCTGAGGACAGTTTTTCATTTTTCAACTTCCGCGGTCCCGTCAGTGGCAAAGTCCAAGAAATTCAAGTGAAAAATTCGTTTGGTCCAAACAACGCAGAAAACCGAGTGGATTATATGGTAAGCTTTATTCAAACTAACTTTAGTTCCTGATTATTTTCGGTTCTCTTCCTGCAGGCAAAACCCGATTACTATTTCCACTATGGGGTTCAAGATACGAAGACTGGAAACTCGCAAGGGCATAAAGAAGTAAGAAATGGTGATTCAGTCGAAGGAGAATACCGGGTGTTGCAAGATGACGGTTTGATCAGAATAGTGCGTTACACTGCAGACCCAGAAAAAGGTTTTATGGCCTACGTCCACTATGCCGAACTGAATTCTCGCAATGAAGATCCAAATGATGAAGAGATCAAGGATCAAATGCAATGACCAAAGATTGAAAATGTCCAGTGTTTTTGGCCTGCGGAGAAACGCAGGTCTTGATGTATATAATATATTATATAATAGTCATTAATGTAATTAAGCATTAGGTAGGATGGATTTCTTGTATGTGTACTTTATATAAAATGCAATAAGTTTCTCCATTCGATACCAACTCGAAAAAAATTGTGATTTACATTTGCTTTAACATGATTAATTTTTGTGTTTTCTCTGGTATATTCTATATGGGTAAAATCTATCAAAATTCAGTAAAACTGTGTTAATTGTTTGATTAAATACATATAATGATTGTGAACTTTGCCTATATTTGTAGCTTAATTCGTCTTTATTAATTAAGAGCCATTAAAAGTAATTATTTAGGAATAATGTACAGACTCCAGATAATAAAGCAATTTGAGCAAATAAGTGTTTTGCATTTTTTTATTTTTTGGCCTTTGTTATGATTTCATTGGTCCACTTCGGAATCAGTTATCCTGATCATAACGAATTTCAGTCCTACATCGTCCATATTACGGAGCCAACAGTGAAATTTATACCTCATAGTAATCGGTAAAAAAAGTATTTTTTAGATACAAAATGTTACAGATTTTGCGATAGTTTTGCACTATTTCTTTAATTTCACAAGAAAACACTTTTATTGTGTGGTTAAAATGCGCTTAGAACAAAAATATTGTAAAAAATGAGAAATATAATCAGTAACAGTGATCAAATTGAATATATTAACAATTTGAAAATAATTAGGAGTTTTCTTAAATGGTTTCAAATTGTAGAATTAACTAATTTTTAAAACGGTTGTCATCCCAAGTTTGTAAAAATTTTCTTTTCGTTCATTTTTTATTATTTTTGGCGTCGATAACTAGAAAATATTCTTTTGATTTTGTTAAAGTTTGTACAGAAATTGCAAACTCGCGTTTTTGATCACCGTCCTTATGTTGTTTATTTTGTCCTGATTCTGTTTATTTTCCAACTTATCGATGATTTTGTTCAGTCTGACCGGTTCGTACAAATTGCAAATATAATTTTTTTTGTGTAAAATTTTCTTTATGTTTCGAGGAGACGTGGACCAACATTACAGAAAAGAAACTAATGATTTATAATTATTGTTCATGAATTTTTACAAATTTCAGAAGCAAAACCTGATTTTCTATTGCTTCTGCAAGTTAATTTAAGCTATTATTTTTGGAAACGTAAATATAACTAATTCCGTTTTTAATTTGCAAAACATTGGCGACAGTGTTTTCTATTAAACACTCATAACTCTTGATTGTTGTTAATTCCAAAAAGAAAGCAAATATAATTTTATTTATACAAAAATTGTATTTATCGCTTGGGCTTCTTTGGTTATTCTACAAGCTTCACAAAGATTCTCAAATCTATAAGGAGCATTAGTTGTATTTCTCCGATGGCCACTTTCGACTTTATAGCTGAAACGTATGCATTATAACGGCTTTCTTCTGCCAGCAGAAGATGCTTAATAGAAAACAAGTTTTCTTAAATCGCTCCTGATAGCACCATTAAAAAGAACGTTTTACTTGGCGCTTTGAGGAAAGTTGTTGCTTATTTAGTCTTGGAATTTATTTGTTCCAAAGAAAAATCACTCTCTGGCAAGTTTAGTTCTTTAGCAAATTAATTCCTAGGAAGTGTTAAATTTTGCTTAAAACCAAGACATACCCAAAATACCCATTTGAATACGAAGTAAAAAACAGTAAAACTGATGGTAGCAAGCAGCAATCTGAGGAGAGACATGGAGAATTTGTAAAAGGAGAATATTCATTTTCTGCACCAGATGGTACTATTCGGAAGGTTCAATACCATGATGATGGCCACAGTGGGTTTAACGCAATCGTCACCAGGTAGATTATCTGATAAACTACTCGTATTCACGTCACACGTTTTAATGAATGTTTCTTAAGCTCGACCAATTTAAATGGAAACTAATCAGCAATTTTTTCAGGCTCGGTAACGCCGTTCATCCACCTACGAAATCGGCAATTCCGGTGGCATTAAAAACATCAGGATATCTTCATTGATCGGCTTGTAAATGTATATCTGTGTATAATTTTCCCATTAAAGCCATTAGAGGTATCGATAATTACTATTCTCTGTGTAGGCTTCCGGATTGCGTGAACAGCATGAGATTAATTCTTAAATCGTTAGTCTAACGATGGAAGTGCAAAGTATTTTGCATGGAAATATGCAGTTCTGTTACTCTATGCATGAACGGTTAACGAGCAAAAATCAAAATTTCTATTTCACAATTTAGCAGACACAGCGCTGACTAGAAATGGGAAGTAAAATCCTCAGTGTTACGGCAAAAATCCATTAAAAGCGAAAATGTTGTAAAATTGGCTGCTTTTCAATTTTTGGCAAATCAAAGACTTTCAAGCAAATTCGGTTTTTCAAATAATTATTTTCCTCAGGCTGCTATATAATGTATGTCTTGATTCATTGGCGATTTTGTCAACAGTTCTTTGATTGAATTTTAACGACTTGGACATGCCAGTCTCGTAAACATATTATTCCTCTTTGTAATCTCTTCACGTTCAAATCATCAATTAAATATTCATATGAGCTTTCAGCGTGAATTAAAATAAATATTTTATATCGGGGGGGTAAATAAATTATTTTCCGGATTCAACATTTTTCAAATTTCATTATTCCTTCCCCATTAACAGAATGAGGCTGTTGTTGCTCATCTTGTTTTGTAATATTTCCAGATGCTTTAGCAAAATTTTTCCAGAGCAGGCCCAAAATCATTTCAGCTGCTTGAAATCTTTAACTAAATCATGGTGGGGCCCCAATGCAGCGATTATATCTGAAAATGATGATTTATTGCAAAATTTCATACAATTTCCCAACAGAATATTTACGATACCTCATGCAAGTGGGTTTTTTGAAAATGCTGTGGAGAAACCGATTTCGTATTTGATCATTCCGAACTCCACTTCGTCTTTGGAGGCAGTTCTAGAGGATTTAGTAGAGTCACAGGCGTTCCAAGTTTCAACTTATATGATTGTTGTTCCACAGGATGTAGATGTTCGTAATGTTGCTGCAGTAATGTGGAATTTCAGGTAGGAAATAACAAGTTTTTTAAATTTGTTGAGTTTTCGCTACGCTTTATTTAATTTTTTATATTTTAAATTAGAGTTTGAAGTGTTTGGTTCTTGTTCATCCATCTCCGCATTTCCCGAGTCACTTTTTATGAACGGTTGTTAACTACTACTGACTTAAGCTAAGCATTTGAGTAATCAACGCTGTATAAATAACCGAAAACTTAAATAACTTTGTCTTTATCTTTTCTCTTACAATTTTTCCAACAATTTGATCAATATTTGTTATTTCAACAGCTTTTCCAAACATTCTGCTTCCTCAACTGTTGGCTCCAAAACAGCAGCTATGCAATAGCCGTGATCAACAAAAAAATCCCATACTCATATTGTCTCAAACAAATGTTAATTTTCCAGATTACCCAACTCCTTGATAATCCAAACCAACTCGCTCAACTCTACTCTGAGTATTTATTCAACACATATCGTGGACTGTGGCTCATACAGTACAGCCAAGCACGTTTTGGACTTGTTCGCAAATGCTTCTTGTCCATCTGGAATGAAAATATCGCAATTCAGTTTCAAAGAAGCATTCCTTGGATGTCCGCTGAAAATAGTTTGGGTTCGCACCCAACCTTATGTGTACGAATCAGATAACCCATGGGGTTGGAAGGGAATATTCATCGACGCTATAGAGGAACTTGGTCGATTATCCGGTAGACAGATAGTGTTCTTCCCGGACGATTTAGAATTTTATGAAGATGTAGCCAGAGCGCTGGCATACGATTCTGTAATAACTGCTATGGAAAATGAAACTGAACTTTTCGTGGGACCTGGGGAACTGGGACTAGGTGAAATATTTGATGTATCCACCATAATTATCGAATCGTATTTAGAAATGATCGCGCCGAAACCTCTGGCTAATCACTGGAAGAAATTTTCGTCTACTATGAGCATCAATCTGTTCACTATTGGTTGCATTATTTCTGTGCTAGTAGTGACGTTGACGCATTTTCTCAATAGCTATCGCTCTAGGGAAGGCACTTTGTCTAGAACACAAATCTTCCTTCTGCTCTTCAGCAACTTTGTAGGAACTGGAGGATTTGGGAAACTCTCCTCCAACTCCTCTCTTCGGATATTATTTGGCAAGTTTACCGCATTCAGCGGTACCAATAGGGAGTAAAAATGAAAATGTTTCAGGATTTTTAATTCTGTCCTTGATGGTGATCAATGTGTTCTTGCAAGGCAGCTTAACAAGCCTTGTGACTGGTTCAATGTATGGTCCGCCCATTTCATCTATGGCTCAGCTAATTGAATCAAACTTGAACGTAAAGCTGACGGCAATGCTTAAGTCATTTTTGGAAATTAACGATCCTAAAAACAAGGAATTTATAACAATCTTACATCGCGCTGAAACTTCGCAGCATGTAGATTTCAACTACATAATTGATCAATTGATCAAGGAGAAGGATTTTGCAACTTTAACATTGGAGGGTAAGTCAGTAAGTGATTTAGGGGGTACGTTTATTCCACAACGCCACATTTTAGCTCTCGTCCTAATGAGACCCAATATTAAGAAATCGTTCAGCACTTTTACTTACCTAACTGTGCACACCTGCTTTGGAATGCGGAAGAACGACATTTCTTCACCACCTCTATACAACTGGATATTGACTCTAGTTGAGTCTGGAATTATTGTTAAATTTGAAAAGCTCCACCTTAATGAGCTGGCTTTACGGTTTAGCGTCGATGTGGAAACAAATTCTTATACCGTTAATTTGAGGCAGATATGGCCGATCATGTCGCTCCTACTTCTAGGACTAGCCACTGCCACTCTTGGGTTGGCTTGCGAGTTCTTATACTTTATGTTGAGCAAGCTATTGGCCGCTTATAAGCACAAGCTCAACTGGAAAACATAGATCACATTAGATGAATACTTTTAGGTAGAAGATTAGTTGCTTTAGTGGAAACTCTGATGTTTAGAAGATTAGTAGACGAGCCAGCCAGTTGCATAGTCTTGACAAACATCTGTTGAATGTTTCCTATCAGCATCATTTCCCAATATACATATTTCTGCAGCGGGCAAGACGATTGATTGCCCTGATTGAATAATTTTTTTGAAATTTTGTGCCGCTTCTTTCTGCAGAATTTCCGCTACAGATTTTTTGCCCTTTATCGAAGTCCATCCTTATTAAACCCAAATGTCTTCGCATGGCACTTAACCCACAGCTGGTTTTTCGCACCTAAACTCCCACACATACTAAATTAAATCGTATGTATCCCTTCTCAAAATATTTTATTACCCCAATAAAATTAGTAAATTATGCGCACTGAAGTGGGAATCATGGGGTTTCTGACCTTTAAAACGAATTCCAACCAAATAAAAGCACTTTACAGGCAAACGGACACATCATAAAATTTATTTACTAGTTCTAGATATTCTGTTGCTTCCCCTTAATGGAAATTGTGTTTACATCCTACTACCCACATTAGGACAGCCTGCTGGGCAGCTATAAATTTTCCTTTGAATTTACCACATTAATTCAAAATTCACGCAATCTTTCATCTAAAATTTCCTAAATGTTGGATAATTTATGTTTTAATTAAATTTAATTGATTTGCTTATTGATCGCCTGCTTGGACGGACAAATCACTCGACTATTCAGGCATAGTTCTACAAATGAGTGGGTGAAATATACAAGGCGAGGCTCTAAGCATTTTAATTAATCTTAGCTAAAATGTCCCTTTTAGTGGCAGTATTTGAATTGGCTAAATCCAATTAACATCATAACCCGACAATACGAAATGTACAAAACGCAATAATCGAATCTTGAACATCCGTAGGAGTCAATATTTAAAACCGATCGAAATGGTTTAGAAATGAACTGAGAATCATCTAAAGTGTTTTAAAAATCAACACATTCGGTTATCTTAATGACTACAGAGTTTCGTTAAATTGCTTTAGACCCATATGCGAAAAACCTCCGTTATGCCGTTATGTGTGAGCTACATTTTGGTAGGAGTTGGTAAAATATAAAATAAAGATGTCAAGATTTTATTAAAAATGCCTATCTCTTCTGGCCACACGGGGGTCCAATTTGTGTATGTGCCAAAATGAGTGTTCCGCCGCGATGGTGTCTCATAGTAAGTTTTAATTTATGTAAATGTTTTCTTTACATTAAATTGTATTTTATTTGACTTCCTAATGTGAGGTTTGTTTTATTAGAAAAATGTTTTATTTTAGTCGAACGGTAAGTAAGATTTAGTTTGGTCAGTCAGTGTTCCACCTGAACTTTGTGCCATTTATTTTTATTCAGAACCATATTTTTATTTAGCCTTATCAATCTATCGGCTTATTAATGGTGTCCGCTAAGTACACTGTCGTAGGAGATTTTAAGTCAATATCGGCAGGCTTTGATTTACCCAACAAAGTAAACATTGATTTAAACGTTCAAGTTAATTAACCCCGGCAATACCGCTATAAATTTTTTAATTAACAGCTGATAACAGGAATAGAGAAAAGTAAACACACAGTAGATTTTTGTGTTCATTTGCATATGTGCTGTGTTAACAAAAAAGTTTCAAATAAAAAAAACACATTTTTATATTCGACCTAAAGATATAACAGTTAGAATATGTAATTAAAATCCGCGATTTAATTAAAAAACCGACTTGAAGTTAATTGGGACTGAACCCGAAGCCAGTTATTATTCAGGAACAAATTTAACAAATATTAGAAGCAAATGGTAATTAAACATTCATTTTCATAAAACCGAAAATATCGTTTTTTAAATTAATTCAGGGTTTTTAAATTGCATAGACATTTACTGTTAAGCTTAATACTATTTAAAGGATTTATTCAGAAAAATCATTTATTTACATGCAAATTAGAAAGTGAAAGAATTAGGAAGAATAAACTGAAAAAATATATTCCGTAATATAATAGAATTTTTATGTTTAATTGGATGGGGTTGGGGTTTGTTGCGGCTGCTTTCTTTCAATAATCTTTAAGAACGTTTATTAAAATATTTTCTTCTTTAAGTTGGTTTCCTTATATTTTCAAATATTTTGTCCAAGATTGAACACACACAAATGAACCTGCCACAATATTGTCATCAACATGTCTTCAAGTCAGCGCCGAACTAACAAAAAATCCTGCATCTTCCTGCTGTAAACGTTGTGAAAATTTATATTTAAATTTCTAAAAATTTATTGTCGAAGCCTAACTGAAAGAAGCCTAAATCGAATATAAACAAATCCAAATTCAAAAGTTTTAATGGCAATTTTAGATACTCTTCTACAGTTTTTGGCCTGTAGCTAAATGTATGCCGGCTCTTAAAGAACCCAGACTGTCTCTAGCAGATGTAGCAACTAGCTATAACATCCGAGAACCCGAAGGTACATTTCTACCTTTTCAGCAGCTTTTACCTTATCAACTTCCTAATTTAAGGGCCTGACACTTATGCGTTCGGTTACGACATAAATGATCCGGATACTGAAAATGTCCAATTTAGGGATGAGGAAAGAAAACCCGATGGTTCAGTTGTTGGAAAGTATGGTTGGCTGGGGATGGATGGAACTGCTTATATTGTCAATTATGTGGCCGATTCTCGTGGATACAGGTAACAAACGAAAATTTATTCTGGAGGCTTCAATCTAGAAAACACAATTTTCAGAGCTTCGGTTGACACTGTCCAGAACTATTTAATGCGACGAAGAAGCAGGTTCAACCCTTTTATGAAAATCAGATAAATCATCATTGAAATATGACGAATTAGCAGCGTTTTTAGTTTTTTGCAGGTTGAACGTCTGAAATGTGATTATATTGCTCTTGGTGAAATAAAAAATCTATTTACTTTTAATAATTATATTGTGAATTTATTTCTCTAACAATAACAGAATTATAAAGTATCACATTTTGGTTGCAACGTGCGCTCTATTTTAAAATGCTGGCAATCCAAATAACTCGGGTTGAAACAGCTCCAATGAATCTAGAACTAAAGTGGCTGGTTTTCTTAGTTCTTCACCAACACCTTTATCGGGTACCAGAACCGTTTGCATTCCAGCTGCAACTCCAGCTCGCATTCCGTTTGGTGAGTCTTCAAATACCAAAATCTACAAATTTTATTTAAAATTATCGTTAAGTTATAGTGTCTAATTCATTTACGCAAAAAGCGAAAATTATTGTTAAAGGCTCACTTGTTCAGGATCTGGTTTATCTGGAAACTTAGATGCACAAATCAAAAAAATATCAGGAGCAGGTTTTCCATTTTTTACTTCTGGATTATTCGAGCCACACACAATATGATGGAACAACTTGATGATGTCTTGATGGTTTTGCGTTTTGATTTTGAACGTTTTTTCTCCCGATGAGGTTGCTATTGCTATTGGAACGTTATTTGCTGCTAAGTGCTGGATAAGTCTTTTGGCTCCTGAAATTTCCCGAAGGGGGTGGATTTTAAAAATTGTTTCTAACTGTGAAGAATGAGATATTTTGAAATGGTGCAAATTTTAACACCAGCAGCACTGATAAAAAATTAAAAACAATATTAATAAAAACTATTGTTAGAAGTTTGAAAAATGTTCTTCGTTAAAAAATTAAAATCAATCTAATCTAATCATATTTTACGGGATTTTTGAATTTTGGTGACAATTACCAGGCATAAATGGTGGATTAGACAATTCTGCAGCGATTCTTCTGTAATAATCTTCCAGGCAATCTTCGAGGCTTACGGGTAAGTCGAGTTCTCTGATGAAAATTTTAGCCGAATCTGTTTCAGTCGTTCCTAGAAGCTTAAACTTCACATCTGGAGTGTACTTTTTTCCATATCCTTCTGCCATTGCTTGCATTATTTTTTCATATCCAGATTCGGAATCTTAACAAAAATTTTATATTTGAGAATAATTGAAAAGTGCATTTCTTACTTACAAATTTGCGATCAGACATGCGGCAGTGATCTGTAAATATTGTCAAAATATGCTTTTCTTCAGTATTCAAATATAGACATCTTAAGTGTAATTGAAACTCTAAACGGTATTTGCAGACATTTAAGCTAAACACAGAAGGAATTTAAGATTATGATTACTTAACAATTATTACAATTGCTTTAAGAATATGCGGACTGTTAGCTTGAAAATACAAACATGTTTCTTAATATTGGAACAAGTGAAAAGTTATGGACAGCGCCCATATTTACTTTTGAAAAACATGGAAAGTAAAAAATTTTAAATTGTATCAGTTCAGTAGGCAACATGTCCGTAGAATTAACAGTTCCACTTTTAACATTCACATATTTTGAACAAATTTTACGAAAAAACAATTATATAAAAGCATGGTGTTGTAGCAATTTCAATTGTTAGCCTTTAATAAAATCATTAACTTACCTAAAACAAGTCCATCTAAATCAAATATCACGTGGGTAACTTTTTTGAAGCCCATTTTGTTTTTCTGTAAATTCACCCTTTCTGAGACAGCTGATCCAGAGATCAATGATATATTGCTTGAAGTTATCACACACAGACAGCGCACAATTTCTATTGAAATATCTGACTGATAATGCTTCTAGACACTTACATAAATTGTTAAAAAATTACTTTGCGTAATTTAATCATCGTCCTTGAGATAAGAAAAACAAAAGAATAATAAGATAAATGGTTCGCTAACTTACATACTGATTGAACATTACATTGAACTGATTTACTTTTATGTAATACTTCCTCATGTTCATGACGCTTGTTTACTGACTTAAAGATAGTGTGCTGATTTAGTAGTTTGTTGCAATTTTGACTTTTTTCTTTCCATGTTCATTTCCATCTGAAATTGTGCGCACTTTTCAATCAATTGATGATTTTGAAACAACATTTTCAGAGCTTTGGCTGGCGCGGTCTTGGATGGTCAATCCTTTTATAATAATCACTTAAATCGTCATTGGAATAGTCAATTAAGCAGTGCTTTTAATTAAGAGCGAATGTCTAAAATACTACTATTTGGCTCTTGGTGAAATAAACAAAATATTTAATTATAATAATTATATTTAAAATTTATTTATCTAACAATAACTGAATTATAGAATTAACTCATATGGCATTTTAATTGCAACGTACGCTTCAGTTTAAAATGCTGGCAACCCAAATAATTCTGGTTTAAATGACTCCAAAGAATCTAGAACTAAAGTGGCTGGTTTTCTTAGTTCTTCACTAACACCTGCAGAGGGTACCATAACTGTTTGCATTCCTGCTGCAATTCCGGCTTGCATCCCGTTCGGTGAATCTTCAAATACCAAAACCTGCAAATTTTAATTAATCATTCAAAAATTCAAATCAATCACGCCAATTGTTGATAAAGACTCACTTGCTCAGGATTTGGTTTGTCTGGAAACTTGGATGCACAATTCAAAAAAATATCAGGTGCAGGTTTTCCCTTTTGTATTTCTGGATTTTTTGTGCCACATACGATGTGATGGAACAACCTGATGACCTCTTGATGGTTTTGTGTTTTGACTTTGAACATTTTTCTTCCAGATGACGTTGCTATTGCTATTGGAACGTTATTTGTTGCCAAGTGCTGAATAAGTCTTTTCGCTCCTGAAATTTCCAGAAAGTGATGGATTTCTTAAAGTATTTCAAACTGTGGAAAATTCTTGAAACCAGAATAGATAAGTGCTGTAAATTTTAGCCGACCAACCAAAAACCAAAAATACCGATGTAAATTAACAAACGATATTAATAAAACCAGATTCCCAGAAGTTTCAATAATATCGAATTCTCTTCCTTAAAAATTTATTTAATTCTCATATTTGATGGGATAATTGTGTTGATATTTACCAGGCATAAATGGTGGATTACACATTTCTACAGCGATCCTTTTGTAATATTCTTCCAGGCAATCTTCGAGGGTTACAGATAAGTCGAGTTCTCTGATAAAAATTGAAGCCGAATCCGTTTCAGTCGTTCCTAGAAGCTTATACTTCACATCTGGCGTGTACTCTTTTCCATACACTTTTGCCATTGATTTCATGATCCTTTCATATCCAGATTCAGAATCTTTTCAAAAATCATATATCATATATAAATATCAATAACAAAAAATAAATCTTCAGGATTAGTTGAAAAGTGCATTTCTAACAAACAAATTACCATTTTTGGTTTAATTGCAACCTTTAAAAAATCAGCTCTTTAAATCTGCAATTAAACATGCGGAAATAAGCTGTTGCCAAAATATGTGTTCCCTCAGCTAATACTTAAATTTTTAACAGTATTTTAGTCCTTATACATATATGTAGCCAAGTATAAAAATCTCAAATGTATTTGAAACTCTAAAAGGCGTTTGCTGAAATTTTTCATTTATTTTAAATGATAATCTAACGATAGCTACACAGGTTTTAGAAATAAGCATACGGTTATATTGAAAATCCAAACATGTTTTTTTTACATTTGAACAAGTTAAAATATAGATGCACAGTAAAACAATGCATCTTGTGTAGAGCTCTCTAGATCTTGTAGCAATTTAAAATATAAGCCTTTACTAAAACTATGAACTTACCTAAAACAAGCCCATCTAAATCAAATATCACATGAGTGACCCGTTTGAAAACCATACTAATTTGTTTTAATTTGGCCGTTTCTATACAGTTGATCCAGGGATCAATAATCTATTGTTTGAAAAGTTCACCCACAAACAACGCACAATTTCTAACGAAATGTCTAACTGAAAATGTTACCGGGCAATTGGAGAAAAATATGAAAAATTCTTACTTGTATGCAGTACCCTCTCCAGTTAATTACGCTTGTTTACCCATTTATTTATAGATAGTGTTTTCAACAAATTTTATGACGCCGCCGCTTTAATTGACTGTTTTAACGTATATTTGAATCCCGAAACGTTTCAGTTATCTACATTATATGATTCACAAATATGCATGTAACTGGAAATGTACGACCTCGGAAGCGTTTCGCTGAAGCGCTTCAAGGAAATGGTTCTGAACTGTTGCTATAAACGTTATTTAAACGTTGCGAGTATTATTATGCAGGGTTTCCTTGAGAGTGCAAATATTTTTTTCTTAACGGTGTATTTTCGCTCTAGAAAATATTTTGGGATGATCTAAATCAAGTTCAAAATTATAAATAATATTCATCATATAAAACGACGAGAATCGGAGCGACAAAAGTAGAGCAACAAATTGCAATCAATAGTTCTATTTCAACAAACAATATTTAAAATATTTTAGTACAATAACAATCAACACTGTTAGTATTAATGGCATACCAATTGCTGTTAATGATTTGTTGTCAACAACAAAAATTGAAGCAATCAACTTTCGAATGACATTCTGTAGAAGATTGCAACCAGTTATTTCATTTATTAAAGCTTGTTTATTTGGAGACATTTGGGTTCGAATGCGACGTTACACTTCCTCCCAAGATTTTCAATAGGGTTTAGATCTGGAGATTCTGCAGGTCACCCCAAAACTCGAACGTTACTATCCACAAACCAAGTTGAACAATTTGTGAAGTGTTTCGGATCATTGTCTTGTTAGAAAATAAAGCGTAGTGGCATTTCCCATTCTGCATAAGGAAGCATCCATAGTATTTTGCATGCTGCTCGCTTTCTTCCCGAAATTTTTAGTTGGCCATCTGCTAAATAGCAAGAGTGATAACATGCAATAATCATTACAAAAAGCGGATCTACACAGAAACAATTTTTTTTATTCAGGATTATGTACTACTACATCTAAAGCCAGAGGTTTTGCGCCATGCTCAGTCATACCATTACAATGGAAATGAGTCAAAATCAAGCAATTTCCCTCCTTGCACACTTTAGCTGCGCTTTCGTTCAAAGTCAGCATGGGCCCGAAGAACTTCTGCCTGCAAATGATTCGAGCACTATGTGGAGTTAAGCATATTTTTCCCGATTTACCTTATTTCGTTATCCATCGTAGAAACTGCTACGGTATAACTTAGGTTGGTGAGAATATTGGAGGCCAGCCAAACTATAATCCGCTCACCCTTCCTGAAAACCTCTTCCTGTGAATGGCCATCGGGCACCTGTGGGTTTTGATGTACTTCTTCAGCGTCTTCGGGAGTTAGATGAAGATCGGCTATTCTTGACGACATTAAAATCATTATGGGTTTCTGTTCTTCGGGGTGTAAACTTGGAAGCGCCATACGGCTAGAAAATAAATTTTGAAAATATCGCTGTTTTTTCAGTGCTTCTTCTCAAATATCGCATATTTTACTTAAAGGACAAAGGAACAATTTCCGTCTTGTTAAGTACAATTTTTACAGTATGTGAAAGGAACGATTTACGCCTACCTTAGCCGACACATGTTCAAAAATTCGGCATTTATCACTTTCAGAAGGACAATGCACTGTATTGTCCCATATCTAACATCTCTCGGATAAAATTCGGATGCACAGCGAGCATCCAAACGTGTCGAAACAATGGGAACTTCTTTGTGTTCGTGCTTAAAATGAGACTCCAGAGTGCAAACTGAGATGTATTTGCTGCAGTCGGCGTTTGGACATCGAACGGGTCTATTTTGGATGTTTTGTAAGGCAAAATTGATTTTTTTCGAATCTATGAAAAGGCGTACCTTTTGGATAACGACATTACGCTCAAGTTTTGATGGCCACGCAGTAGGTTGGACACTTGCGATCTTTGCACGTATCTTTCAGGATGAGGCATGAATTTTTTCCCCTTTACGTTCACAATTTCAGTTTCTCGGTCTCCAGCTCCTGATACACCTGAAATTTTACTAAAACTTATATCTAGACACCAAGCAAGGTGGAGAGTTGATTTTTCGAAAAAAATTGAGTTGTTGTTTTGTTTGAGATTCGCATTTTCGGGACCAAATTTGAAGATATATAAAAAAATCAGCTCAGGCTTAAACTTCTGTAAAATTTGGCAAAATTGAAACCTGGTGGTTCTCTGACCGTCTGGGAAATTAGAATTTTTTAGCCACATCGTTGCCTCGTTTTAAAACCGCAATTTTCAGGTTCAAGATTTAAAAAAAAATCTACGTAAGCTTGATTGGGGTGGAAATTCCGTCTTATATGAACCTGGTGACTCATTAACACCCTGTTAAAACTAGTGCCTCTGTGGTTCTACTCTTTCTGAAATTAGTTTTTTTTTCGAGCTGAAGGCTTGTTTTGGTAACCCAAATTTTCAAATTGCCCATTGATAGTGAGTACAAAATTTAAAACTTCAGTTTGCAAGTGCGTGAAATCCTGTACAATTGTACCTTGATAGCCTATAAACAGCGTGTTATTACTAGACCCAGATTTTTGCTTTTTCCGAAATTTGATTTTTTTTACCCAGTAGTTACGCGATTGGAGAATCGCTTTTTTCTGGCTCCATATATACTTTTTACATATGTTAAAAGTCTGTAAAAAATCAACGTAGGATGGATTGAGGTGAAATTTGATAGGATTGTAGTCTATTGACTGGTTATTAGCGTGTATACATTATTGCAGGTCCAAATTCCCACATGTGTTGCCTGCTTCAAAAAGCTGCTTTTCAGGCTCAAAACTAGAATTTTTGAAAAACATATTCGAAACTGCAATCAACAAAACGAAATGCTTTGCTAAACAAACTAAGTGTTCCTATCTTTACTTTTCTAATCTTTATTTGCCTCCAAAGTCCCAAATGGCGATCGAGGATCAATTTTTACAATAAATAGTTGTCTAATAGCTTGCGTAAATTTACAAAGTTTTCGGTGCTTATATAAATTCAACAAAGCATTCTTAAAATCTAATAATTACTCCTAGTAAGCAACACCAGATGTTCAATGGGGTTCATCAAACCATTTTGGAAAATAACACAGTTTCACTTTTTTTTGTATGTACACTAAGCTCATTTTTCTGACCGAAGAAAGTAGGTACATTTTTTACTGAAGCATCGTATTTCAATATCAGATAATTGGAAAAATAAGTCGCTTGCTTAGTGCTAGTAGAACTAAGTGGTCGTTTTGCCTTATAGCCAACCAATGTGCAATTAATTTCAGCAATTAATACGCGAGTATTTAGAGCAAGAAAATATTAAAATTTTTATTGTTAATGCTTACTGGATATATTTCCACTTATCCCCATATGGATGAGAATGCATAATTACTCTAATTATATTAGTTTATTTAAGGTTCATGTGTATGTTAATCGAGGCCTCGCCATTTCAAAGTGTAACCAAAATGTTTCAAATGAGCCTTAATCGTTTCTCAAATATGGACTAAATCAAATTGCTTCAGTTCACTCTAAAAGCCAACTTTCCTTAATTTAGTTTTTCGAAATATTACAAACTTATGAAAATTTAAAAAATATATTTTTTTATATGCTGCTGGTTCCAAAGCATGCAAAATTTTAATTTTTTAAAGTTTCAAGGGCTGCTGTTCGTAAACAAATGTTCTTGTAATATTGTCTTTGCATATTTTCAGATGAACCGCTCTTCAAAAATCGAATTGTGTGATTTATATTACAATTAAGAGAAATTTTACTTTTACCTGCATAGAAGCTTCTTTTGAAACAGTCTCGACAATAAAAATCATTGTTGCTGCTTTGAAGAAGTGTGGCAATGTTATATGACGCTTGGCATATTTGGCACAGGGCAAATATTTTTTTCTGTTCCATTTTGATGATTTCGAGCGCAAAATATTGTCAAAACTGACAAATGGAAATGACGAAATAAAATAATAAACAAAAACCCGCAATTAACTGTTTTGTACCAATTTCATCCCCATTTGAAAAATCCGCATAAATCAAAGAAAAATAACATCGTCTTTGAATTAAAGATATTATTATGAGCTTTTTCTTGCGCCTTCAATCTGATTTAATTTAATTTCAAATTTTCCTGAAGAAAAACGAATCCCAGCTAAAAATAACAAGGAATCTATATCCAATAACATTTATCATTAGTGTTCGTATTCAATGTGCTTAATGTAATGCAGTCGTTATAAATTATTTGGAACATTCGTATCTAATAACTCGCTTGGGGAGTCACGGAAATATTTCGTTTGATAAATAAATAATCTATTTGTAATGGGTCACAAATACAATTACTTTAAAACCAGGATATTTTGCGATTAGGATGAGTTTCAGTTATATTATTTTTTTAACAATTTCTTATGCGGGACACACAAAGCTGACTCGAATGACTTTTATGTAAATTGTTGCAATTTTTCTTACGTCGTGGCTGAAAATCAGTTTTCACTTTCTTCGCTACTGCAACACGTTGCGCATCACAAACATGAAAATCCAGTACCCTACTTTCCTCTCTTTTTGTTCTGTTCAAGCCCCAATTGGCCTATGCTTTTTTCCCAGTCGTGAAGAAAGCATATATAAACTTTGGATAATTTCTCTCAAATGCTTTATTTACTTCTTCGCTCTGTGATCTATTGTTCGTTTGCATATTGTGATTGTAATTGAGTCCTTGCAGTGACATGTTGTTGAAAGTAAGTTTTGCGCTAGTTTTATACGGTATTTTCGTGAATATTCCGACTGGAAAATTTGAACTAGTTTTTTCATGTGTTTCGCCCTTATTTTACCATTTCAATGAGTTATTGACCTTTCGATTTGAACCATCCTAAAAGTTGGGTTGAAAAGGAAGGTAAAATCTTCTTTATTCAGAAGTTTTCTAATTTTTATTATTAAATGCTGATTTGGCGAAGCCATCATCCGCATATGAAATGCAAGTGAAAAATGAATAAAATATTTTTTTCGTTTTACTCATTCATATTATCAGATGATGTCATATGAATTAGACACAACAAACCACTGATTAGTGTTTAACAATGTAGCAACAATCCAGAGTTTTTATTAGTCGGGCAATCGCTATTGATTGTCTAGTTTAGCGGTTATTATCTTGCAATGATAACGTACACACGGAGTTTCAGAACGTTTGTAAATTTTCCAACATCAATGCCAAGGCGCCAAATCATAGGTCGGTAAATCACGTTTGATATGCACATGTTGTTTGGATGATTCCAACATGAAAAAGCAACATGATGAGAAAGTCCACAATTCAGATAAAATCAGCTGCAGAAATTAGTCATGGTTTGCATTAAAAATTAAATTAAAAATGTTTTTAAAAATTCAAGGTTTTGTGTTGTTTTGCAAGTTTCATGAGTACAATAGGAAGATATTTTGCTAAAAGTATCCAGTATTTTGAGTAAGAGACCACCGAAATATTTGAGCTTTATTTGAGTAGGTACTATCGGAAATTTCCCAGTACAAGCTACAAATCCAAAATAAACAAAAAGTTTAGCAAAAGCAATCTGTTTAAAAAACCCAATTTGAAACATACTTAAGCCCACGTCAAAGGCAATGAAGCCATTTTTATGCCATTGACGAAATCCACGTCCCAAAACGAAAGTATCAAATGACGATTTCCTGTTGTCCGCAGACATAAAGCGTATTCGTAATCGTTTTCGCATTGAAAGTACTTTTAATGAGGGTAAACTTTTCCGTTAAAGAACACATCTTCTGAAATCTTTATGTGCAATGTGCATACAATGGCTCGCGTATCTTCTGCTCCATTAGAATGTGCAATACTAGAAATATTTTACAATGTTAAGATCCTTGATCTTTAAATGGATCTTCGTAGAAGATCGCCAGTTGAAAATGCATTGAGTAAATAAATGCGCTTTTCAGGTATTTATCAGCTTAGTTGCCCTTGTGGCTGCAGCTAAAGCTTCTCCACGTCCTAAAATCATTTACCAAGATGTTCCCATTCAGGCGCAACACAATCACTATTATCCTCAACATGAAGACGCAACTGCGGCAGCTCATCAGTTTGATGAATCGCAGGTTGAAGAAAGTGAATTCGCGCATCATGTGGAGGATCAGCAGAAAGTCGCCACTCACCATGATGTTCTATACGATTACTATGTGAGCTGATAAAAAATTATCTAAGCTCATCTGAAGTTCGTTTTCACTTTCAGGCGCCTCCAAAATACTCGTTTAAATACGGAGTGAACGATTTTCATACAGGTGACATAAAAGCCCAGCATGAGATTCGTGATGGCGATCGAGTTCAGGGTGAATATTCTTTAGTGGAACCGGATGGTTCCATTCGAACTGTAGAGTACACAGCTGACAAACATACAGGATTCAATGCAGTGGTTCGTCGAACCGCTCCAGTAGAACAACATGAACATGATCATGGTCCTACGGTGGCGGAATCTTCAGGATTGTCTGGCAGCGAAGAATATGTACCTCAATATTTGCCAGAAGGACATTACTAGAAAATTACTGCTAGTTTTTAAGTCATAAAATTATTGGAAACAATTTTTAGCTGTATTTTGCCAAAGGGTGTGTAAAAAGTTTCCTAAGAGTTATGTAATAGGGAATCTACTAAATAGTATTTATTTAATTAGCGATGCTTTTTATAGAAATCTTCAATAAAACGTATTGAGTTGATTTATTATTTTAAATTATTTAAATTAGGTTATTAACTAATTTGTTAAAATTTCCAGAAAGCAAATCATTTGCACTCTGTAGTGCACGATTTCAATCCAAGATTTAATAAACCAAGAAGCGATAAAAACGTGTTATTCTCGTCAAAAAATCCATCGACGTGAACTATGTTTCTTCCATTTTGTGAATGATTACAACCGGCAAGCAATGAAATATTTAATTTTTGCGAATTAATCCTATTGGAACAAAAGTACTCTGTCAAGAAGTTTCAGGTCATTCTAAAGAACAGTTTTTTTTGTAAAAATGTTAACCTTCCAATACAAAATAGATTGAAGATAATGAAATACAACATTAATGATCATTAAACGGTAGTGAGTAGTTTAACAAAAGCTTTTTAAAGCGTGGGCAAATTTGTATCTTGTAATCGATAAATCCATATTTTTCCTTGCCACACCCGGATCGACCTTTTCAACTTTAATATCAATGGTAATAATCTGCTAGCAATGAGAAACAATAAAAATTGATAATTGGTAATTAGACTGTTACCTTCAAACAGTGCTGATGTATAGGAAAAAAATGCGAATTTGCAATTGTCTTCAAACATTTGATAAAATTTTACGTCACTTTTTGCGTGCAACAACATTTTAATTAAAAATCAAGAATATATGTCTGTTAATGCAAGTAATAAGAAGATTAATTGGGAAGAAAAAGGATATAAAAAAAATGGAACTAAGAACGGAAAATTACTTCAAAAGAACCAATTACGATTTTAAAAGTTAAGAAAAGTTGTTGAGTGTTGTTGAACAAAAATGTTAAAGTGGAACAGAAAATTAAAACTACTGTATTTTATTTATTTTGCTTTCTCACTTTTTCCAGTGCGCACGATAATGTTCTGTTTAAAATTGTGTTATTTCGCTAATCTTTACAAATTCAAAACTACTTTATATTTTTCGGTTCTCTCAAAAAAAATTCTTTGTAAAAATGGCATTTTTTAAACTTTTGAATAGGGATTATTTCACTGTATTAAACTTCGAAAATTCCGTTTCAATTAAGACATTATGCGAGTCTCTCTGAATAAATGATGCTAAACTGCTTTTGATTTACTAGAATTTTTTGTCTGCAACTATGTGTATCAAGTATGAAGACGGACCTTGAAAGGACCGAAGAGTAAGGGAGTTTATTATACATATATAGCTGAATCCGTGGGGATAACTTACAGTAAGAGTGCCTGATTTCGTTTGGTTAACATGTACGCAATTGTAAGTGTAATATATTTTTTATTCTACTAAAGTGAAACATAATTTATATGCATTTTTTATATAGAATTCATAAATATGACTCTCAACTTTTGGATAAACACATTTTTCCTGTAGTTAGGGGATAGAGTTTGTATGGTAATCAACGAAAAGTTAAGAACTACCTAATACAGACCTTTGTTTCATTGTTTAGTGAAAAATGTGCACATTGTTTCGATATTTTCTTTTATTTATATTATTCATATTTATATTATTATTAATTATTTCGAAATCTATTAAACTTAAAAATAATATAACATTTTCAAAGCCTCTGCTTCAGGTTTGAACTTTTCTGTTACCTAATTAATACGATTTATTCTTGATCAACTTCTCACATCTTACCATTCAAATTCTTACATCAACTTTGTTTTCCAAATTATGCAAAATTTTATTTTAAATCCTTTGTACCTACTCATCATGTTCCACATATCCTTCAACCGTTTCACAAACAGCATGTTTGATATTTCTCAAGATTCATTGATGCTCTTATGAATGACTAATTAGATTGCCTGATATATCACGATTCCTCCGAAGAATCCGTTCGTAGCAGTGAGCAGTTCTTATCGAACTTATCTTTATGGTAAATGTGACTATTTCGTTCTGCAACAGAAATGAAAACCGGAGGAATTAGGAAGATGGCATCGCTGGCGTGTGTGCACATACTGAACAATTTAAACTTGATCCTGACCTTAGGCGTTTATCAAATTATTTTTTCTAGATCACCTTAATTGCTCTTGCAATTTCAACAGCTCAAGCAGCTATTGCAGGATATGGTGGCCATGGTTATGGACATGCCGGTATAGCTTATGCAGCTGCTCCAGCGGTTTCAGCTGCAGTTGTGCCTCAATATGCAGAAGTGCAAGCAGCTCCTGTAGCTTACGCTACAGGAGACCATGGACATGATGTAGATTATTATGTAAGTGAATTGAAATTTAACTAATTATCTTGTTGAAATAATCAGTTTTATAATATCTTGGGAATGAGCATCCTTTTGCTTGCTTTTTGGGTTTTTTGCTAATTTGGTGGGACTGAATTGGGTGGGAAAAATTCAATTATGTCGCACTTGAAAAATGTCTCTGAAAAAATTGTTTCTCCTATTTTTACGATATCTTTTGCTATTCAGTTTGTCTTGTTACAATTTATGTACCTTTGCTGGATATAGAATTTTTAAACTTAGTTTGGATGAGTAAATAATTTTCCTCTATGCTCGCCAGAAAAATTGAAAGAAAGTCTTACTGTTACAAAATTGATGTGAAATGTACTTACTGGAAAGCAGAATTTCATGTTGTTTTATTCTTCCGCATTCTTCATCAAACAAGTGAAAATTTGGAAATCAATGCATGGCAAGATAATCCAAACAAATATTGTTTCAAAATCTTTCTAAAAACAGCGTAACGCAAATTAGATCAACTTTGCTGAAGAGATAAAAGGTCAAATTTACCATCCACAAATGCTTCAATCATGCAGACCTATACTGTCGAAATCGACATTGCTAAACTGTCGATTTGCTCAGATAATAATTTTCCATCACTGATTATCAATTAAAAAAGTAGTGTTGAGAACAGTGTCAAGATAAATTATGGAAACACTCATTAGCGTCTAATGTGGTGTTTTTCCAAGTTGGATTCCACGTTTTCTTGCGTGTTTTCACATGCGGGTTTTTGAAGTTCAATTGCGACTCAACATGGATAAAGTGTGTGGAATAATAAGGACAATATTTGTAAAGATCCTTTAAAATGGGCTCAAAATTTCGATATTTTGGACCTGAAGCGTCTGTTGTGTTTTCAATGAACTCCACTTTCGTCGCTACCTTATTTTCGTTAGTTAGAGCAATAACTTTGCAGAGAGGTTTAGGTATTTTAGAAAACTCGATATATTTGGAAAATCGACTCTAGCTCTCATGAAATTGAATGAGCAGGAGTCAATTACTCAGAAGCTGCATGAACCGCATTTTTTTAAATTCAAAATATAGGTACTTAAATAGTAAGCAGAAGAGAAACTTTTTCTTTGTTTTATATATTTTTAAAATTTAGATCATCTAAATAGTAAATATCTAAATTATTTAAATAGTAAATATCTAAATTATCTAAATAGTAAATAATGCCGAATAATTTTGGCACAACTGTAGATAGTGAATTTAGTAAAATTATTTGGGCGCAGCCTACCATATCCAATTCAGTTTTCCGCCTGAAGGAACCTCCACAATATAAAAAAATCGCCTTCAATGAAAATTTAATAAATTGAAATGGCACATAAGAGCTCTTCTTACGCTTTCTTTCGCTTTACCATGTTGTTTCTTTAATTTATTTTGTCAACGAATTTACTTAATCTTACCCTTTCTTTCGCTTTGATCGAATGTTTGTTTAATGTGTTTTGTAAACGAACTTTTACCGTACCAAATTTTCGAACGGCTTTTTTGCCCTCTTAACTAATCAGTAAACGCAATTCCTTAGAAAATGTGTTTTAAGCTATTAAATATAGTCCATTCCGTAACGTTCATAGACAAAATTTAGCTGTTTTCAAAGTTTGATTATTAGAATCACTTCCTTATGTTAAATTAAAACAACTGCAGGTTTTTCTTGATGGCATGGCTGATGCGCTCTAAGTAAAATTCAAGAGATTTGAAACTTCCTCCGTTGAATTAATTGACTTTAATTACATTTCAGGCTCATCCAAGATACAGCTACAACTATGGTGTAGCTGATGGACTAACTGGAGACAGCAAATCTCAGTCGGAATATCGAGACGGAGATGTGGTTAAGGGCTCTTATTCAGTAGTTGAACCTGATGGCTCAATTCGTGTTGTGCACTATACGTCTGATGATCTTCATGGATTTAATGCGGTTGTGAAAAAAATTGGCCCTAGTTATCATCCAGGAAGCGTATCCCATGCTCCAATAGTTCCAGCTGCGTATGTAGCTTCAGCTCCAGCTCCACTTCCTGGATATTCAGGACCATTTTCACATGGAGCTTTAGGCGGATATGGTGGATATAAAGTTTAATGTTAACAATGTACTTTATGTCTCTTACATTAAATAAAACATTGACATATTTTTTATCTGTTTTATATTTCGCAAAAAATGTCCAGAATCTATGTCGCCAATCCTCCAAACAATTTCCAATGTAATTACATACAATGATAAGAATATAAATGCACATATTGCCCAAGTTCGCACTAATAACACTATCAAGTTGAATAATTCGGATTTCAACTAAAGTGACAAAATGTATTATACAACTTACGAAATGATTTTCGCCTAATATTCACACCATTAGAACCACAAGATAATCAAAAGAAATTAAACATACGAACAGGAGATAATCACCAATTTGCATTTTTATGGGTGGCGATTTCATTACACCTATTTAAAGTCTAGATAGACAATGCATGGTATCTTCACGCAATCCGTGTTATTTTTAGTAAACATTTGCATAAACAAAGGCAATAATAATTGGCATGTTATTCAATCAAACAACAGTTTAAGAATTAGTTTAAATTACAGTAAAAATTTAATTAAACTGAAGTAAAATAACCTGTAACAACACGTATGTTTCCAAATCTGTAACCAGAGTAAGCTGTGGAGAAGTTAAGCAGTTTGTCCGGTCCGAAGTCCATATTTTACCCTATAGGATTTCTTCTTTTGGGGTAATTTAAAGACTTTCGGCGGGTAACTTGATTGATCTTGGATGATCTTTGGATATTTAATTACTAAAATAAATTACTTAGCATTCGATTTAGTTAAAGCGGCAAGTTTGTAAACGCACGGAAAATAAATTAAGACTTAGCTTAATGAATTGCTATAATTAATAATGACTAAAACCCTTCTTGTGACATCCTATCGAAAAGACGAGCTTTATGTAACAGTAAGGTTAGCTTAAATTGCAATTTCCTTTCTACTAAAAAATCTGATTCACTTTAACCCTCAGCTGTTTGCTTAACTGAATAAAACAAAGAAAGGTGTTTATTAAAATTTCCTTTTTAGCGGATTCTTAACATATACAGAATGGTAATTAGAAGATTTCAACATAAAAATGTAGCAACTACTATTTCACCTTGTTCGGCTGGGAAATATGCCATCGCAAACCAGATAATGACCCATTGTGTTTCGACAAATAACATTATTTTGCTAATTTGATTTAGTTTTCTTTAGATGTTTAATGGAAACAGTACGCGTTTTGTTACATGCGCCTTTGACTGGGCGCATCTGAAAAAGCCACATAAAAGAGATTTTGGAATATGTTTTCCGTTGACGGATGTTGCATAGCAATTTTTTATGCTGATTAAAAATCGAAAAGAATATGAAAAAGCAAATTATTAATTAAGTAAGCTTGAGTACCTACTGAAAGTAGGATATTTGCTGGCTAAGGTAAAATAATGAGCGTTTTGTTTACAGAACGCTGAATACTTACTTATGCAATAAATCCTTATGCAATTAACCGTTCCGATTTTCACACAATTATTTTTTAAATCAGCGTGCCGAGAACTCATCCGATTTGAATGATCTGATAATGGCAATAATTGTTATTAAATGCTATTATACGCTCGGATAATAGAGTTCTCTGAATGTGTGCTTAGTTGAACGCGTCGTTCGTTCGTTCATCACTCTAGAATTGAGCAATAATTAAATAATAATGAAAGCACACATTTAATACCTAAAATAAGAAAAAGCATATGTTGTTCCCAAAAAATCTTCACAATTTCTTCTCAAATCCTTAAGAGAATTCAATTATGAAGAATGTGAAACTTTCTTAAAAATGAACTAATATTTCTGAAATAAAGCCTAGTTTACTTCTAACGCCTCGTAAAATAATCAACGCTAACTATCAAAAATTTAGCACAATGTTTATTAGATTTCGGCAGCCTTGCACTAGGACAGAGGACAGAAGGGTATTGCATTAGAATTACGGTGGGGTTAAGTGCTTTGGGAATCTCGTCAAGCATATAAGTATTAAGAAGGAGTAAGAAAGGTGTTAGTTTCTGCTAAATACTAGTCAGTTGAAAAAATCACTCAAATAATTGAAATGTGCAATTTAAAGGTAATTAAACAGTGTGCGAATGGAGCTTTGGCTGCTCCTGATGTGTTTGATCGTTAGTGATTGGTTTGGATCGAGCAAATTTCCGTTGAGTTAAAGTGATACAAAGTCGGTTTGAGTTTCAATTCGTCTTGTGCAATGGATTAAACCAATTATTAATTGTTAAAACGATTATTTTGTTTGTTGTTTACTACAGTTTTTGTATTTTTCCTATAAACTCTAGTTGTACTGTAAACGCAATAGCTGTTTTCCAACCATATTAAATATATATATTAGTTTTCTATATATATAATATATATATTAATTTCTAAACCCGGAGATATTAATAAAATTCCAGCTAAGCCAATAAACTAACTCTATAAACAATTTGCTCTAAGAGTTGCACATTCAAAAGCGCTTGTTAAATAAAACTGGTGATTTTTAAAGGCAACTTATAACGTTTACGGCAACGTATACGGTTTTTTGAAAAAAAGTCAAATTTCCGAAAATTGCAACTAAGTTTAAAGTTTAAATTAAAACTACCTAGGTAGTTAAAAACTTAAATCTTTATTTATGGATTGTATACATAGCAATAACTGCTTGTCTTTTGTAACTTTTTTAAATTTGTTTTCATCATTTGTGGGAATATTTCACTGCAAATTAAGAGCGCAAGTTTAAACATTGTAGAACATTAAAAATATTGAAACTGAAAATCTACTGAAATATCATCAGAAGTGTATTATGTTGGTTAACAAAAACATTATTCGGTCATTTTCAGGAAATCAATTGGTTCAAACTTGCTATCTGCATTTAATAGCAAAAACCCATCTCAAATCATAAGTTTGAACAAAATTTAATTTTTGTATCTCACTTGTAATATTTTGTGCTGAATTTGAATGATTTCAAAATTGAGGCATTTCTAGTCTTGTTATAATACGAAAGACTTTGAAACTTTTGTAGAGAAAGAATAAATAGAGATGGGCTTTCGAGGCCATTCCTTGAAACTGGTGAGTTTTTCCGGTTTCTTCCCGACGTTTCTTTCACAAGCACTAGTGACTTGCGTCTTCCGACATGCCAGAAAGAAATTCCATTTTACGACGGCTTAAAAACCCGAAAAACTCACTACACTTTCAAAAAAAATTAAGTTCATCCGAACGTGCCAAGGTTGACGATTGGTTTACAATTGAATGTAAACGAAGGCAAAATTTCATTTACGTATCCCAGTTGTGCAAAACTTTGCGAATAGTCAAATTGAATATTCAATTTGTTCGTTTTATAAATGTGTGTTCTGTATGCATTCTGGCCACCTGAAAAATTAATATCGCGTATTTAAAAACGCAACTATTTTTAAATTTGTCGAATTTTCAACTGTTAAACATGATTTTTTAGTAAGTGTAAGTTGCGAAATAAAAAAAAACCTTTTGGAAAAGATGCTTCTCGATAGAAAATTGAATGTTTGTCACTTTTTCTCTGAAGTTGAAACAAGGTTCGCACTTTAAAGTGTTAAATTTTTAGATAAACAATAGATATCAAATATTTAGATATCAAATATTTAGACATCATGCTTTGCTTGAATATTGTTCAAAAATTTCAGCAAAAGCTCTTCCAGAAAGCTTTCTTGAGCATTTTTCTTTGACCTTTAATTAATGGACACAGTAGCAACCAGGCAGCTTCTTGTTTTTTACTTATTTCTCCATTACTATAACATCAGTGTTCCAAATACTTAACAACAAGTACCGTCGAATAACTATTTTCTTTACAATGTAAAAATTAATACAGTAGTAGTAAATTAAACTGACGACACATTTTGCATGCAAAAGTGAAAAAACGTCGTACTCCATCTGTTACCAAGCAAACATTGTCATAAAAAAATCAGTCAGTTTTATTGTATTTTCTTATTTACTTAGCATGATGATATGAAGACAATTTAAAATAATTTGATAGGTTTAACCGGAGAAGAATTTCATTCAAATTACTTTTTCTTTCGACGGCGCAACAGCTGAACTTTCTTTCGGAAATCATATCCGCAGTAAGCAAAAAAATGCGGAAAGTGGCTGGTTTCGAGTTGTGATGCAAACTAATGAGAACTTTATTGTTGTTAAAATTTTGAAATTATGCGAACTTTTCGCACGGTTACAGTACTTGGATTGTTTGAAGATTCAATGTTTTGCACTTGAGAGTGATAACGCCGTATTTACCAATGCTGCCTAAAAAATCTCGTTTTTACCATTTACCTATTTTTCTGATTTTTAGTGGATTATTATGAGCATATCAGCGCTACTCCCTGAAATCTATGCAGGACTTTCAGCGGTTCCTGATCTTCATCACTCAAGCCGGCGTCTTCACAAGTATGGATCTGAGGATGTTGATTATTACGTAAGATTTTTGGTTGATTGATGTCTTTGAGTCCAAAACTGATATGAATTATGAATATTAGAGCCATCCGAAATATGCTTTTAAATATGGAGTATCCGATCCCAGTACAGGCGATCATAAATCTCAAACGGAAGTCCGAGATGGTGAGGTGGTTAAGGGGCAGTATTCACTAGTGGAACCCGATGGTTCCATCCGAACTGTAAACTATGTGGCCGATCCAGTTAATGGTGAGTGTATAGAGCTTCTGAGGGTTTCTGAGCCAACCTCCAATGTTTAACAGGTTTCAATGCTGTTGTGTCCAAAACCGGTCCAAATGTTCATGTGGAACCCCAGCAACATTTAACTCATGAAGCGGTGTATCCTGCAGGAGCAGCTTCGTATCAGAAGCAGTACATTCCCACATATGTTAAGCCTGTAGTACCAGAAGTAATCAGTCGGCCTATACATGTTGCACCATCTGTACCACAGTACCAAAAGCCTGTAGTTAAATACACTTCTTCGTTGGGTAAGTTCAGGCTAGTGGATTATAATGAAAGGCTTGATGGTTGAACATTTTCTCCTAGATGGTGGCACATAGTACAGCTTGTGTAAAATTTTGGAAATTAGAACAAAAATTAAGAATTATTCTAATCTATTTTCCTCTTAACGAGTGGATGATCTGATGGTGCGCGGGTTTCCGCGAAAAACTTTCGATGATCAGAAGCCACCGATTATTTTCCTTAAAAATTAATCTCAAATTCATTCATTGACCATTACGCTTAGTATTTCTCTTCAAGGACTTCAGTTTCTTAGTGAACATTTGTAGTTCATTTGCAGCAACATTAAATATTTTCCAAATTATTTTTGTTAACTTTAATAAAATAATAATAAATAATAAATAATAGGAATAAATTGAAATCGTTTTTAAACATTTTCAAATATCATGTTAAAGGCACAAATTGCTCAGATGACTTAGGCGTTAAAACCAGCTAAATATAAACCAGTTGTGCCTATGAACAGGGTTTATTCCATTCTGAAAATGCGATCATTCAAACGTGCAGGCGCAAAAACGGCAAAAAAGAGGAATTGGAAAATTTTCCGTAATAACAAATAAGCAAGTAGCAAATTTAGCCATCGTAAAACTTGACACTTTTTACCAGCCCAAAAATCTAACATTTTAGATTAACATAAGAAATCGAAGCAGAAGAAAAAATATATAAAATAATAAAAAAATATATTTCTTATCCTAACTTGTGAAGCTCAGAAAAACTGGAAAAATTGCACTACTCTACCTTTGTTTGTAGGAAATATATGACTTTTTACCTTGAAACCGGAAGTATGTGAAACATTTGCACACAGTTTTGAATAAAATTTGAATAATTTGAATATTCAATTGATATTTCAAGATTTTCTTTGGTTTTGATGAAGAGAAAATAGTGAAACTATTACTCTAAGAAGATTTTATCTCTGTTTCTAGAAAAACTAAGACCTGTTTTCACGTTTAAAACATTTTCACGATTTTTGAACAAAATTTAAACTATGATGCATCTGTATTTAACGTTTTACTTAATATTCAAATGAAATTCTAATTTATTTTTTAAAATATTTTATTTATTTTTTTATATTTTTTATGGTTTTATGAATGAAATATATTTATATTCCGTTGTCTTCAATTGGCTTTCTAAATACGAAATTGAAATATTTGTACAATCTCCTCTGATTGATGTTTCCTTTTCAGGAATTTCAGCTGAAACCAATTACAATTTTGTCATTTTTTCGTTATTTAGCAGGAACAAACTCAATTTCAGTACGAATCCAATACCCAATACACTTTCAGTTAATTTGAGGTTTTTGCTCTTGCATACAATTCTTAATATTTCAAATAACTGATTCTGCAAGCAATTTCCAGATAAACGAAACTATGTACTTTCAGCCAACGAAATAATAATGATATGTGGCTTTCATGAAGACTATTAAGATCCTATCATTAGTCGAACTATCCAAATGAAACTAACTGCCTCAAATCAATAAAAACCATCTGAAATGTTGAGAAATTGTGGCAATTATAATTGATGACCACCTACGGACATATCGTGATCGAAAATCCACGTTGGAGAATTTAAAATTGTCATGAAGCAATTTCTTTTGCATGGCTTATGCCTTCGGAGGCCATTGTGTAATAAGGAAGATGACAATATTTACATGTTGGCTTTTCATCTAATTCCAAATCAAATTGATTCCTGGGTTTCAGTCATTTATTGTCTCTATTTATCAATCAAAATACGATTCGGTGTATTTTGATTGATACATAGAGACAATAAATGACTGACACCCAGGAATGAATTTGATTTGGAATTGAAACACAGTTAGGAAAGTATATACAATTTTCATCTAATTTAAACAATTCTCATTGATCTGGTTTAGTGATATCTAAGCTTCCCCATAACAATTTACCTTCATCGGCTATTTTTAGATCACAAATAAAAGATCATTGACTATCCAAATCTCCCCACATAGTTTTTTTGCTTTAATCAACAGTTCTAATTAATCACCGCTGTTACAGAACATTTGTATAAAAGCGATATTTTAATTATTTCCTTTTCATCTGATTTTGAATTGATTTCTACTATTGATAAACTCGACCGCCACATGAACATTGAAAGAAACATGAGTTTTAGATTTACCTAAGCTGCCTCTTCCCTGTTCGAAATGCGTGCTTTATTTTGCAGATGTTGTAACTGAAATTACTGCATTGTAATTATTGTTATGTTAACAGAAGGAAGTTACGACGTTAGTGCAACGGTACACCAATCCGAGTGGATTTCAGAGTGCTTGTTGTTTATTATTAACACGCCAATGCTCTCTAATTAGTGCCTTTTGAATCCGAAAAATTGGTTGAAAAAGCTATTTCTCTAATAATCAACCAATTGAATTGTTGCATTTTGTCATTAGTTTCATGCTAACCGTTTTACCGGATATCTTGCGGGCTTTTAGATTTAAATGAGTCAGGAAAGTATTTACAATATGTATAATAAACTTGAAAAATGTGTAATTTAATGCGACTAAGATGCACCAGCTAATTAATGAATACATGACAGCATCCTAATGATCTCATAAGTTGTAATCACACACACCACAAAATAACTTAGAAACATTCTGCTTGCAATAGTAACATTTTCGTTCAAGGATGCGTGTGAAACTGCAGGATGCGGATTTATCAAAAAATGCACTCACCGGGAATTATGTTACCCGAACCTTGAGATTTATTGTCGAATTTCAAAATTCAATTAAATGTTTGTGAGCATTTACATGTGATCCACCGCAGATAAATTTATACAATTCAAATTACATGTTCAGGTATAGATGAATCAATTAAGGAAATAAATAATTCTAATTCGTATATTGAGGTAAGTGATTGTTGCACCTTTAATCCTGTTTGCTGCGATGTGAGGCAATTAAATTTAAAATCCGGCTTTTCATGCAAATGTCAGATTTCTTCAGGGCGAGTGGCTTTAACAGCAAGCCTAATATAAACCTCGATTGTTTTATTAAAATGAAAGCACCGATCGGAATGAACTGCTAAATGTGAATCTTGAAATAGTTTGATTTGAAACAATGTTTTATGGGTTGTCGGGGTGGTTTTACAGCAAATGCATTTGGTGAAATGCAGTCGATGTCGTTCACTGATTGATTTATTTCTGAGCAAGCAATTTTGGAATAAGGTAGATTCTTTTAAATACCAAGTTGCTCAAAATGTTTCGATGTCTACATAATTTTTTTCTCACCCAACCGACAAATGCAACAAATTCATAGTACATTATGGTAGAAGCTTCAGATCTTAAATAATCTGCAATTTTGGTCAATTTTAAGCGGCTTTCGAGCAGTTAGCAGTTTGAGCATATTGCGGGCTTGGTTAATCGGAAACGATCCAAAAATTTGCTTGTCAAATTTCGATTTCTTACCAAAAAATTCAAAGGGGTGAAAGTAGATTTTCTCAAAATATATCAAGTTTCTCAAAACGTCTGGAATTTTACATTGTTTTCGTCAAACGGAATCGTAAACTACTATGAGCTGATAGAAAATACAGATCAGAAATAAAATTTTTGGTCAATTCTGGGCGATTTTGGACCAATTCCGATCTTTAACCCACGATAGACTTTTTTGTATTAACCGAGCAACTTAAATATGCATATTGGGAGTTTTTTTGATCCGAAATAACCCATGAGCATATAAGTCGCGCATGTTAAATTTTGGTTTTTACAGACAAATTTTAGGATTGATTTTATCAAAAAATATAGAGTTTATGAAAATATCTCGCATTTTACATAAACTTCATCAAAATTAAGCGCTACAAGCTTATGGAAATTCACCTTTGAAACTTCAGTTCCGATGCATTTCATAGTTATAATCTTTAACAGACGATATCTTTCTTCATATAGACCCAAACAGTGTATTATCTGCAAAATGGGAGGTTTATTAATTCGGAAACAATTCATTCATTGAATTGTAACCGAAAATTTTATAAGGAGTCATTATAAGTCGATTTTGCAAAAGGTCTCTCAGAATGCCTCATATATTGAACTTTATCATCACCAGCGAAATTTTACCAGCAAAGAAAAACACTCGCTTAACATTTTGAATCAAAACAACCGAAAATTCTGAAGCTGTTTGAGATGTTTTAAATCTATTTTGATCCATAATTAAGGACAGTTTCAATCAACGACTATTAAAATGTCTCAAATTATATACCACTTTCATTGTAGACGCGAGGAATCCAACTTGCTCAGAATAGTTAATGGCGCTAGACTTTTCTGGTCCAAAAAAAGCCAAAAATTGTGACGCATTTTGAGAATTTTGCAAAATATACATATTTGTAGCTTCTTAGATAAAAAAAATGTTAGTTCAAAAAACCAAGATGCAAAATTTCAGTAATTATTTGACGGTTACCAAAAGAGTGAAGATTTTGCGGCTATCGCTTGAAACAAGTGACTTTTTAGGGAATCGTCCACAAATCCTGAAATTACGTAGCGTTTTTAACGCCAAGGAGAGCAATGCATTCAACGAGCTCACCAGTTGTCWTTCCAGATCTTCCTGATCCGAAAATTTWGACCAATTTTTAYCTTTAGTYYAAAAAATATTTTTCTTTTTCAACAAGAAATTCAGACAGCARTGTATGTCTGAAAATCTATACCATKTTGATGGCAAAAAAGATTTTTGGTTCTAATTTTGCCGATGATTTATTCTATTTGCGATTGTTTTTYGTTTCGCATTGATGCAATCCAGTCCAGCCCCAGATCTGAGTAATAATAACCCAWTTAAAAATAACAAACAGCTTGATTCACTTAAGCCAATTTCTTCCATATACTGCAGCCTTGAATAGTTAAGTAGTTCATTTAAAGTCATCCTTGGACTAATCACAATCCTATTAACTCGATCCATCCAAACAATACAATAATATGGATCTACCAACGCAAATTCCTATTCGTACGACCACCAATACGGTGTATTGTTTCAAACCGAGTAAGCTTTCAACAAAAATGATCATTTGCTATCATCCAAAAGACATTTATTAGTTCCAAAAACACATTAATTGCTTTCAAATACAATAGTCGGAACTATTAACTGACATTCGACTGAACCAGTTTAATTGTATAATTGTTTCGTGGTGCAAAGATTAGGATAATGTCATGCAGGATTATTCATCACAGGTCCTTGATATTTACGGCTCGAGTCTGGACCTGAAATTCAATCGCTTTTCTAGTTTGGTTAATCAGGTTCAACGAAAAAAATCGACTTGCACTAAATTTATTTTGATGTTTCGCTTAGCGAACCAAACAGGCAAAATGTAGATTAAATTAAAGTTCTCAGCGAAATGTTACGTCTTGGGTCGGAACATGTAATAAGGATTTGTTAATTTTTCAGGTTACTCAAAGCCGACTGTTGGATACTACAACGACTATGACACATCTTATGAATACCCAGAATCTTATGATTTGCAAGGATACTATGAAGATGTCCATGGGCGTTACTGAGCGAAACTGATTTGGTCTACTGATGATCAGTTGTATAAAGCAGACTTCGAAAATATTTTAAATTCCTTAGAGAAAAACCATGTTTTATAATTAAACTATATTTCCATGTAAAAACGTGTCTAGTTTTTATACATGTACATAAATGTATGTTTGTGAGTTCCCTCTGTCTGAAACTAAATATTGAATATGCTTACTAATGTCTAAAAAAGTTTTAAGTTGATTTCACTGCTTTATCTGCAAAATTTAACCTTTGGACCATTTCTCCTCTTGAGCATTTTGCAATTTAGTTTTGGGAAATCTCCTGATCCACCGTTGAAATAATTGAAAGCAAAGTGGTTTCGACTATGTTTCATATGCAGTCGCTCAGTGGTTCCGCACGCATTTTTCCCAAACGTTTAAGTACTTTATAACATATTAATTAAACTATTAGGTAGTCGATATTAATGAGAGAAAGTCATCACATTTAAACATCCAGTGAAATTACATGTATAATTACATCTATCAATTGATTAGTTGTATTCCAATCATCGCACTTTTAAGAACTTTGAAAACTTCCTAGATACACGCACAATTTAACCGGGAAAAATGATTATAACCCTAAAGTATCAGCAACTAATGGTTCCAAAATGAAATTGATTAGATACTGGCAACTTTCGCTCCAAAAGTGCACTTGCTAATGTGCGGAACAAAGCAACTAAGCAAATGTATTGACTAGTAAGAGTGCGTTGCCATCGTATTTGTGTTTCCTCTCCTTTCAACGCATACATCTAGGCTGTTTTATTCGGAAAAAATACATTTTCAGGGAAGATTTATTGCATGCCAAGCAATGAAGACCAAATTCAGCTTAAACACTTCCTCAAAATGAACCAGAGCAAATCAGAGAACCACCTTCATCTGCAAAAAGAAAGGCAGTGATTTAGTTGATCGCTAATGGCCCATACCAGTACATGTAATTATATACAACTACTGCACATTTAATTCTACCGTCTATTATTCCTCAGCAATTTGAGGCTTTATAAATAGTCGATTTACTCAAAGTACTAATTATGATTATAAAGATATAGCATTACTTTCAGCCATAAATTGGAGCTAACATCTCTATTCACCTAAAAAATGCTTGTTTTGCATTTTCTTAAACCCAAACAATGCCGTTAATAATTCAAAATCCGATAGTAAATCGATTTAATCAGATTTTCTCAGTCCAGCGAGAAAGTACGAGCGGACAATCGTCTTCAGTTAAATGCTGCAAAACACATAAATCCCCTTATCATCCTTATTTATTTCTTTATCTTTCAGCTGCCGACGGCTGCTTGAAGATATTTATTTCGCACCCAGAGGAATGTTTTATACAACTGGTTTGCTAACTGAATTTTTGGAACAAGCCTTGGAATTTACAAGCAGATTTTCGCAATTTTAGTGACAAGGAAAAAATCGATTTATAACGGTTTGAATGATTTATTGTCATTTGCAGAAGAAGCAGCAAAAACTGAGAATATGAGGACTAAATTATAAATTCCATCGACTTAATTCTTGCTGGAAGTTAAACCCATTCAGACTTAAACCAGCATATATTATCTGGAATCTATTTGGTAACCTGCGATAAAGTCCATTAAATTAACATAACTTAGTTTTAGCAATTAAATTGATTTGTTGCTGTTTCGCCACTGAAGAGTCACAAATTTTATCCATTCAATTCATATACTACTAGCATCCGATTTCGATTATCTATTACATGATTTCATTGAAAAGAAGAAAGTGATGAACATTATGAATTCTGCGATCTTTGTGGCCCAGACGTGCTCATTCACATAACATTTAAACTTTGATAGAGAAGGTTTATTTATATGCATAGACTGTATGTGCTTGAAATCGTGTAATTGGCAATCAAATGGCCATAAAAGGATTGAAGCGTTTTGAGTGCAATTATTACTCGGAAATGTTGCAAAATAATTACTTGTTTACGTAAAATCACAATGGAACCACACGGAGAATCTTCCAGTGAAATTTCGTTGGAAAAAAGTCAATGGAAAGCATGAGAGTGCTTTTGGTATTGGAAAATAGGCACATTTTTTGTCGCCGAGACCCAACCATTGAACAATCCTGGGAATATTCGATGAAATTCCTGCATGGATAAAGACAATTCCAATTGAGGTTGATCACGCTACTGATGCTGTCGCCAATTATTTATCAAACGTATTAAAGATTCAAGAAAGGAAAACTGCTGAAGCTCATTTAAAGGAATGTGGAAGGCGCTTTGTGTTATACATCCATACTAATGAAGGTCGGGAAGATGTCTTGAGAATATTCTGGTCTATAAATATTAAAATAGAATGAAATGTTGCCGTTGGTGAGAATGGCGAGGATTTTTCATTAATATTCAAACCTTAGCGTACTAGAGGTATCAAGTAGATGTGAACTCGCCTAGAA